GTCATTTTTAATATTTTCTAGTACTTTTGCGATACTGCCATAAGCCGGTCGCGCTTCTCTGATAATCTAGGACTCTAATCGTCCCCAGCGCCCGGAACGACGATACGTCATCTGAAATTCGCCGGATGATAAATTGCTCATTAGACACGATCGTTCCGAGATATACATATTGTGCATGTGGCACGCGCGCTGGATGGATCGGCTATAATAGTCATCAATGCATTCTTTGTAGCTAAGATCTTACTTTAGTAACTCTTTCGGAGGTACGTAAGGTGTCCGGGCGTCCCTTGTCTAATTGTCGACGAGCTCGCGAGCCCCGCGATATCGCTTATCAGTTCATCGTTAGACGCCGCACGTACGGCGTCGGGAATATAATCCGTCCTTTGTACTCGACGTGCGTACTGAAATGCGATTCGCAGCGAGTCTCAGTGAAGATTCGCAAAATTTTTGCCGACGAGACGCGTGACCTAAGCCTTCCTAAAAACGCATCTCTTGCCGCTAGAATGTTACCGACAACGGAGACCCTTAATGCAATAATTTATTGACAATACGTATTTGACAATTCCTTTCTTATTTGTTGCAGATGAAGGGGCTGATATTTTTTTACATACTTTCGTTATGCTCCAGTCAACTTGGAGCCGACAAGAAGATCAACAAATACGTGACAACGTTAATAAATGCCAAATGGAACGAAACACCTCTCGTACTCGAGGCAGCTGAGTATCTGAGCGATGAAAATCCAAGTTACTTTTGGAAATTTATTGATTCGTATTCCAATAGGATTAGCAATCTTGTACTGGGTAATTATGTTATGATTCGAATGTGAATTGAAAATTGAGAGAGTACGCCAGTACACCACACTCAATTTCTGTAATTATCCCAAACAGCTACGCAAAAGGAGAATTATGACGTGATTCTGGAGTTGGCCGAAAAGTTTCTGTCCCAATCTGAAATAGCAGTTTTTAAGTTAGCATTGTCTTTGCGTATTTATTCCGCACGTGTGGAAATGTTCTCTCAAATGGCTGTGAATAAAAATGTTTCCTCGTACGGATGCAACAATGTTGTCAACGTCGGCGGAACATTTACTTGTTCTTTAGAAGATGTAGATAGATTGCTCGAGCAGGTTGGTTCATCATATTCCATCTCATGTAATTCATGGATGTAATTCACGTGTGCATAATTGCATTATTTGTTTTCCAGGATACTTGGGAAATTATAGATACCTATGACGTAGACCATCGATACTTAAGTACTTCAGAATCTGATAAAATAATGATATTGTATGGTCAGATTGGGACACCTATGTTTACCGATTTTCATGAAAAGTTAAAGAACATAGCAGAAACAAAAGGGATCAATTACATTCTTCGTCATTATGTTAAGGTAATAGAAATATGTCATAGACATCATGTGTCATATGGAGAATCATGTTTCTTACATTTGAAATCGATTTACAGGAGAGAGAGGATAAGAAATTGCGTTTATCAGGTTATGGTGTAGAGTTGCAAATGAAATCTACAGAGTACAAAGCAACTGACGATTCCGATATTAAAGACAATACAGGGAAAAGCTCCGAAATGGCAAACGATGGCATGGAGGAAATTGAGGGGATCAACTTTATGACTTTAAAGTAAGGTGGTTAGTAAGAACGTAAAGTATTCAGTTTTTGTGTCTGTGCGTATTATCTTTACTTTGCATCACTACATTGTAATATGCTATTTTTACAGGAAATTATATCCAGACCAACAAGCTGAATTGGATAAAATACAGACGTATTTACTGGAGACCAGTCATGAGATCGGTGCTTTTAAAGTATGGCAGTTTCAAGAACTGAGTCATCAGGCAGCTGAAAGGATAATGAAGTCCCCTTCTACAGAAGCATTAAACATTCTGACTGATATATCGCAGAATTTTCCTATGCAAGTACGCATTAAAATGAATTCTGTATTTATATGAGTGACTATATATATATATGTAATAGTTTACTTATTTAGTTCATTTATTTTGGTTTTACAGGCAAAATCGCTAATTAGAACTAAAGTAAATAGCGATATGAAAAAGGAAATGAAGCTGAATCAGGAAATATTCATGGCAAGTCTAAATATACAACCAACTGACACAGCGCTTTTCATCAATGGCTTATTTTTTGATCTAGAAGCTATTGATGTTTTAACCCTTTTAGAATCTTTAAGGAGTGAGCTACGAGTGATGGAAGCTCTTCATAAAATTGGTACGATTTATAAACAGTTTTATGTTTGTGTAAATATTAGATTGTTAATATATTTAACTCTATATATGCTGAAAGATTATATTTTTGTGAATTATTTCAGGCTTTAGTAACAAAAAGATGAGTAAATTGTTAGCTTTGGATTTATCTGGAAGCACGGATAATCAAAATTTCGCAATGGACATAAGAGATTCTGCAATTAATTGGATCAACGATATTGAAAATGACCCACGCTATAGTAATTGGTCACCGTCGTTAACCGAATTATTACGGCCAACGTTTCCTGGCATGCTCAGAAATATTAGGAGAAATTTATATAATCTGGTTAGTATCATTAAATTAAAAATAATAAAATGCTTATTTTATATGTGGAGTAATGAATACATTAATTTTCTTTAGGTATTAATTATTGATCCTCTAAATGAAGAGTCCATGCCACTCGTAGCTCTAGCACAATCTCTCTATGCGCATTCTGCGCCACTGAGGGTAGGATTTGTCTTCGTGACAAATTACAATACATCTGTGACAGGTTTAATGGATGCCAGTGTCGCGGTTAACAATGCGTATCACTATTTTGCGGACACTAGAAGTCCGAAAGAGGCTTTACATTTCTTGTCAGAGGTAAGGTATTTATATTTAGCATTTTTATGTGTCTTTATTTAAAAACATTTATAAATAAAATTTATTTTTGCTCCAGTTAGGAAATTACATCGGGCCTTCTGGTGCTGACGTGGATGATGTAAAAAAAGTTATCAGATCCAAAGACTCGTCCGCTAGTGTACCTTATATTCTCGGTGAGGAGTCCGAATACGATGTAGGACGGCATCTAGCCAGCGACTTTGTAAAACGATGTGGATTCAAGAAATTCCCACAAGCTTTGTTGAACGGTGTTCCTTTGACGCCTAATCAGATCAATTCTGAATCGTACGAGGAAGCAGTGTTATCTACTATCATGTCGCAGACACCTATGTTGCAAAAAGCAGTGTATCGAGGTGAAGTGACGGAAGGAGACGACATTGTTGATTTTCTCATGAACCAACCAAATGTTATGCCACGGTATGTAACCACTTAAAATAAAATCTTTGAATTGACTTTGTAAATTTAGGTTTCAATCAGTTGTGCATTGATTATTTCGATTTTTAGATTGAACGAGCGTATTTTAAAGGTGGACAAGAATGCGTGGTTAAATTTAATTGGTACAATTCCTGAAGATGACGACTATACTAAATGGACTTCTCCAAATCTGTCAACTTATTTAATGAAGAAAATGCATTATCTCTTTGTACCACGTCGTAATATGCGTCATTTATATTCCTTCTGGGTTGTAGCTGATTTGAAATCGTTGGCTGGCAGACAATTATTACGAGAAGCCCTTGAATATGTGGTATGTAATTCAGTAGACCTATATTTCATGCCACACACACAAAACAGCAAAAATATAAAATTTATCTTTTTATAGGAATCAAATACTGATGCGCGAATTAGTATTATTATTAATGCGAAAGATGACGCGAATCTAAAGTCTGATATTAACAAAATTGTGCTTGCGGTAATAAGTGCATTATCACCGGAAAAGGCTATACTTTACATGCGTAAAATCCTCAAAGAAGAAAATGCAGCTCTCATTGCTGATAGTAACTTTGAGATTGAGGTAAGATATAATGTCTTTAAGTGGTACATACATATGTATTTGCTAAAAAAATTATTTTATTAATGTTTTGATTTATTGCAGGATGAGTCTGTAGCAGCAATTTTAAAGGATCAAAATTCGATGTTGCTATTACATCAACATTACGTTAAAACCGTTTTAAACATGGAGATAGGAATAAGAGCAGTTTTGTGCAATGGCCGCATCATTGGTCCCTTGGATAACAACGAAGAATTTACAAATGAAGACTTCTCTTTATTAGAAAGATTTAGTCAAAGCACCTATGGCGAGAAATTATTTATGAAATTGATAAAAGATCAAATCTTCAATGAAGATGAATATGGTATTTTATGATTTATTACTTAAAAAGTTAGTTATTTTAATTTGTGTGATAAAAATAATTAAATGTCTGTAATTAATTATGCAGAAGAGAGTGATATTACGGATGATACGATTATGAAGATCACTTCGCTCTTGGTGCCACGTCCACAAACTCGAAATCGGTATGATGTTCCTTTCCATGGAGATGATCACAGGTAAAATAATGATTTTTTATGTATGAGTAAAAACTAAATAATTAACGCAATACGAAAATTTGAATATATTATTGAATATACGTTAAATTCAAGACCGTTTGTTTTATTTTGCAGCGTCATAAAAATTCCAGCAACCAATTCCGATGAAATTGCTTTCAACTTTATCGCCATTGTCGATCCAGTTTCACGTGGTGCTCAAAAATTAGGCCCAATATTAAAAACGCTACAGCAAGCTTTAAATTGCAATATAAAAGTATTTTTGAACTGCGTAGACAAGAATAGCGATATGCCATTAAAGAGGTAAAGTAATGTGTTCGAGTTTCTTCATAATTCTTTTCCTTTTGTTGTAAATTAAGATATATATTTTTCTGTTTTATTGCAGTTTTTATCGATTTGTGCTCGAATCTGAGTTGCAGTTCACAACAGAAGGAGATATCAGTGGTTCTATCGCCAAGTTCACAAAACTTCCAACTTCGTCATTATTAACGCAATACATTCATGCACCTGAGAACTGGCTCGTGGAAGTAGTTCGCAGTGTTTACGATTTAGATAACATTAAGCTCGATAATGTTGCGATGGGCGTACACAGGTAAAGATATTAAAAAATAAATCTTATTATAAATTTGATTCAAATAAGTTTGATTTTAATTTTACCGACTTTTATTTCGTATTACTTGCAGTGAATTCGAGTTAGAATACTTGCTGCTCGAGGGTCACTGTTTTGAAGCGGTAATGGGGAATCCACCGAGAGGCCTTCAGTTCACATTGGGCACCGAGAAACAGCCTGTGATGGTTGATACTATTGTAATGGCCAATCTAGGGTATTTCCAACTCAAGGCAAATCCAGGCGAATGGGTGTTGCGACTTCGGCAAGGACGGTCCGCAGAAATATACGACTTTACTACTGTCGACGGGCAGGACGTTATTCAGAACGGCAACGATGTGAAAGTCCTGATAAGTTCTCTGAGGAGTCACGTGTTGAAAGTGAAGGTTTCCAAGAAGCCGGACAAGGCGGGGATGGATCTTTTGTCGGACAACGAGAAGGATTCTGGATTATGGAACTCCATTTCTAGGTACATTCGATCGATCGTATTACTCTCTCTCAAATTCCGTGTTTCAACGATTTCCTAATGCTGGGTGTTAGTATTTAACATGTGTAGCATGGTATTCCGCTTCCTTTGAACTTAACTTTTATTTGTTCTCTCTTTTTTAGCATTGCCAAATTTTGGTAAGCTTCTCATTATTATGTAGTTAAGTACATCCGTAATTTTCTACAATTAAGTACACACATACACATACTCCCCACAAAGAAATCAGGCGTAAATACGTTATGCATTAACGGAGAACATATTCGTGGCTTTAAATTCTAACATCCAGTTAATCTACAATCTTGAAATATATTGAATCGTTATATTAGTTTATTCACATTGATTACTGTAATCCCAAGTCACCAATATGTGTTCTTGTCTTCGATTTGTCGTCCTATTAACTGACTTAACATACCACTGCTTTGATAATGTAGCTTACGTTAATTGGGATACCTATTGGCTGATATGAAATAGCTAAATCATAACTAGTTTGCAATAAATATTATGTATATTTTGCTATATTTCTCAAACCAGGACGTTTACGGCGACAGACGAGAATGAAGACAAAGATGAGAAATTAAATATCTTCTCTCTTGCCTCTGGCCATTTATATGAAAGATTCCTGAAGATCATGATGCTAAGTGTTATTAAACACACTAAAACGCCTGTCAAATTCTGGTTCTTAAAAAATTATCTTTCACCAACGCTAAAGGTAAACGTTTGTGGCGTATAGTAATAAAATCTTGTTCGTTAACTCTAATGATTACGGAAACAAATGACAAAGTCTTTCTTGTGATACAGGACTTTTTGCCACATATGGCTAAGGAATATGGCTTTGAGTATGAACTTGTTCAATACAAATGGCCTCGCTGGCTTCACCAACAAACTGAGAAACAGAGGACTATTTGGGGATATAAAATCTTGTTCCTCGACGTGCTGTTCCCGCTGGGGGTTAAGAAAATAATATTTGTCGACGCCGATCAGGTAGATAAATTGTTTGAACTGTAGCGATATAAATATTTGTTCGTAATTATTTTACGCGGTTCTCATGTATCATTTGTGTACAGGTAGTAAGAGCGGATTTGAAGGAGCTAGCAACTATGGATCTCGGCGGCGCACCTTACGCATACACGCCGTTCTGTGACAGCAGAATCGAAATGGACGGCTTCAGATTTTGGAAGCAAGGATATTGGAGAAATCACTTGCAGGGCCGTGCTTACCACATTAGCGCGCTATATGTGGTCGATCTCAAACGATTCCGTCGTATTGCCGCCGGAGACAGGCTGCGAGGACAGTATCAGGCGTTGAGCCAAGATCCAAATAGCTTATCGAATCTTGATCAAGTATGTGACACGAATAATTTTAATATTTATAAGAATATAAAGGATATTATACTGTTAAATTGTTCTAATTGTCACTTCCTTTACGTTTTTATAAAATAATAAACGGTAATGTCTTCAGGATCTGCCTAACAATATGATCCATCAAGTGGCTATCAAGACACTACCACAGGAGTGGCTATGGTGCGAAACGTGGTGCGACGATGCATCCAAGAAAAACGCCAAAACTATAGATTTAGTATGTATTTGCATCTCATCAAAAACGAATAACGTTGTAATATTTTTAACGTTTGAGACTTACTAAGTAATGTGTCTTTTTCTTCTGTTACAGTGTAATAATCCAATGACTAAGGAAGCAAAATTACAAGCAGCTATGCGTATCTTACCCGAATGGGTGGGTTACGATGAAGAAATTAAAGTTCTGCAACAGAAAGTAGAAAATGCAAACAGGCAGACGGAGAAAGACAGTGGTATGTTTCCCGCCATATGTCTTTTAATATACGTATATATATGCGTATATATTTTTTTTCACGAGATGTTTATTTCTTTTCTCTGTTTCAGAAACTGTTGATCATGTCTCAGGCCACACTGAATTGTAAATTACATTTATATACGACGATCTGAGGGATATATTGAATCCCGAGATTGTCGAAAAAATTTTATAAAAAGTTCTGTATAAAGAAATTTTTGCGCTTTAGATTAAGAAGCATCAATACGTAAAAATTTCCGTATTTCACTTTTGTAATTGACATTTGGCACTATATGTGTAAATAATTGCCACTGGTGCTCGTGTAAACTCATAAAAAAAATAAGGATATATTGGAAGCTAAAGGTTTGTTACTTATTAAATCCATACTTCGTATAGAATTACAAAAATTATGGATTTCAAATTTCAATCTTATCTTTTCATATAGCGAATTCGCGAGACTACTAACTTCTTTAGATCAAGTCGAAGCAAGAAGTCAGTAGAGTCCAATAATCGTAATTGTTGATACAGTATTCTGGTTACTCGTGAATACGATGTTCTGTTCATGTTATTAAGCCAATTGTGATTGATTATTGTCTACTATGATAGTTATAAGAAATAAACTTGTAACATTTGTAAGATATCTTTGATATTTTCTCCTGTTTGGTGTAACAGAGAAAGAGAGAAGAGAAAATCTAGAGTTAGAGTTAAAATGCTTATCGACTTTTTAACTAAATTTGTTTGTACATGCAAGTGTTATGTACCGATAAATTTATTTATAATTACAGAAAATCCGATTCTCATTTTTAATAATGAGTTTTTGCGATATATTTTTCAGCACGGATCATTGCATGCGCTAATGACGATTGTGTCTTTCGTGGGAATTTATTTTGAACGCCGCGGCCGCGAAGAGAATCAGAGCGAGGCGAGCGAAGAAATTTGATACATTTCGGGCTGCGTTATCAGCGCTATTGTGTCTCCCATCGTTATCGTTTTAGTAGACAAAGATATAAAGTAAAACAAACATTTCAACAATTCTACGATTTCGAGCATCTCGAATGGGAATGATAGAGCAACGACCGAAGCAGGCTTGAAATCATTGTATCCCATCATTGATCATCTTTCAATCGAGGACCGAGCATCGAGGCGCGAGGTCGCGCGAAGTGGACTAATTTCTCATGATAAAGCGCGTTTTATCGTCGTTTATCGTGTTCCGTTTTATTTCGTACGTGGATCGATGGACGCGTGAAATCAAAACAACGTGGACTTGTCATCAGACATCTGTGCATCAGATCAGAAACGGCCGTTATCGACGGCTCTCGCAGAGACGAAGAGATATCGGATGAATTGATCCGGGTCGTTGTCTTGCGTGCGTCCCCTTTGTTCAATAATATTTATATAAACACATCAGGAGAGAGAAAGAAAGAGAGAGAGAGAGCGCCAGTCCGCCACGCACTAATGACATCTCCCGACGCATAGCAACCCCGCGCTGCCGCATTTGCCTTGCCTTGCCTTGGCTGCGCGGTCGGCTTGGCGGTCGGCTTCTGTCAATTGTTCGATGCCCGCACGCCCGTGTCGTTCGCGCTCCTCCTCGGCGACGATCCGCCTGGAAAATTCACGGCGACATGGAAAACAGCGGAGATAAGGCCGCCGACATAGAAATTCTCTCTGTCGTCGTCGAGCAAAACAACAAAACCAACGAGTAAGTCTCGCTTTGATAATATTTTGATGTTGCCGGGATACAATTCGTTCTTGAATTTCTCGTTTAACGGAACACGACACGTGTTTCCACGAGCATTTAATAATTGCGCGATAAAAACGTTCGTTTTTTATTTTTTAATAAATCCTTTACAACAAAATTATTCCAATAATATGCATTTTAAATATAATCCTTAAATTACGTAAAAATTTCCGTATTTCACTTTTGTAATTGACATTTGGCACAATATTATTATCGGAACAATTTTGTTGTCAACGACTTATTGAAAAAAAAAGTATATAATTGAAATAATTTAAAACGATACTGAAAGAGAAAAATAAATTTGCTTAAATCCCTAATTTGAAAAATGTAAATTTAAAATTTATTTTTGCATTTAATTTACTATTTTGTAACGTGTAACAGAAATATTCATTGTTTTTTGAAAACTTGTATATTAAATGGCCTTGTTGCTTATCTATAATTTGAAATCCATTATGATAGCAAGTTATTGAGTATTGACCAAACATTACCTTGATAAAAATGCAAATATAACTTTGACTATCGTCAGCAGAAATGAAGTTACAAATTAGCGACAACCGAATTTTTAGCGACAATTACAGTACTAATACAATTTATTGAAAAATCTGAAATGGCGCATTAAATTATCCACACCAGGGACATACCAAGCATTAAAAGTTTTGCGGCCGTTTACGCTTTTTTTTTATATCATCGGCAGCGTTCGTAGTTTTTGATAGACAGACGGAGGTCATCCAATAATAGGTATATCATTATTTCTTTCTCACTGTCCAACGTTCTCTCTGTGTGACGACCTTTTTTCTTGCGATCCGGATCACGTTAATTTCCGCGTATAAATGCAACCCCGAGTGTCCAATTGTTTCACACGAAACCCTACCCCTCGTCTCGCGGCGTGCCGCCGAAAGAGTTACAAAACATCATCGCACCAGGTGGAAGCCAGTAGTCCTGCAGGTTCGAGCACCACCGGCCATTCGCGAAAATGGACCTCTGCATCATCGACGAGTAAATAAGTTCAAAATTGCTCTTATACTTCTTGCTTTCAGATTCTTCGCGATCACGAGCAAAGGAATATAATTTCTCAGATTTGCCAAGCTTTTGATTTTCGACAAATGATTCAATTTCAAATAGACTGCAATTAGACAATCGCGTGATACATGCTCTCAAAATTATGGGGTTCTTGGATAATCGGAGATGTCGTGCGATTAAGTAGAATAAAGCGAATTTCCGCACTGTAGTGATTTACGCATCTGTAATCGTGTTTAAGCGATAGCAAGACCCAGTTTGTTGTAGAGATAATTTAATAAGTATCCTCCTCGCGTTTCTCGTATCCGTTTTTCCGGGTATCTCATAAACATGTATTTGCATTGCGCATCATTGATCAATGATGCGCGATGCAATCCATGACAACTATGCATATGACTATCGGCATTTAAAAAGAAATACGTAACAGCACGCAGCTTATCTTTAATATTTCATCACACGTTGAAGACGACTGTCTCATTTTCATGCTACGTCGAGATATGAGTAAACGGGAGTTTTATCATACAACTAAAAGTTAATATTAGACAAATATTTTTCACGTCGTTAAATTTATTTTTAGAGAGAGAGAGAAGAATACATAAATTTTGTGCTGTTCCGGCTTATTTATCTTATTTTGAATTGTCTCTTCCGTAGCTGCTTTATTAATAATTTAATATTCCAAAAAGACAATTATCCGGATATATCGCACAATTAAATTTTTAACAAGAAGATATTTTTTTCTCAATGGTGCTTGAAATACTCTTAAACTACTTCATGCAAATTTGTCACATTCTTTTTCCGTGCAATTATGTCTCCTTCGAAACTATTCAAGCTAACATTTTTCATGTCCCCTCGAAATCTTTATTTTACAAGCAACGACTATCAACAAGGATTGTTAACGAAACCACGATATTTTTCTGGTTTTTGCTCGATTATCGATCGAGTCGGAGAATCTTTGTCAAAATTGAACGCAGTCGGAGCATACAACGCGATCGCAGGAAGAAGCCTCTCGATTACGAAATCCGCTTCCTCGCGCGATCGGCACGCGCTCGGGCAAATCATTGAGTCGCCGCGTGCTGCTGCATCACATGTGCCCCGCGGTACCTCTTTGGAAAGTTACGTGAACGTGCCCGCGTGTTTATTTCACCTTCACCATTCGCTCAGTCTCGAGTCGCGATTCACGGCGTAATCCGCGATTGTGTTCGACGTACGTAGACTTTCGCTTAAGACTCGCTTCGTCCAACGGGATCTCGGTATCTCCCGCTATGATTCCGTGCGTCGGTGAAGTCTTGAGAAGCACAGCGCCGTTCTGAGGAATTTTTTCATTTTTTTTTCTCTCCCAAGAATCGCGAAAGGTCGAAATCGACGTTTCGCGTAAGATCATCGATCCCGCGCACTAAATACGGGAGCCGAGCGCATGTCTTTTGGAGAACGCGCCGATGGTCCCCCTGTCTCGTTCGAGATTCTCGAGCGAGACTGATAAGACGAGTATATACTGCAAGCCAGCGCGATTACTGATGAAGACGTCGGTGCGAGAGGGATAAACGACGATCGAACCCACACGCGCCGATAAATCGCGCGAATTATACGCGCGACTATTAAATCCGTTGCGGATGCGATAAACCGGATCTGACTTGTGAAAGCACCTGTTGACACCGAAATGAACGTGCGGAACCACGGCGTCGGACTCCAAGATACGAGATATATCAAAGTGGTATACCAAATGTGAACAGTGTTCAAAAGCTTTGAAGGCTGAGCCACGTGCAACGAGAGGAAAGAGCTTTGTCTAAAAAAAAAGCGGCTAACTCGATCAGCGATATTCTCGAATCGGAGCCGCTCCTTTTTTCTCAACACGATTTCTCTCCGTCCCCGGACGAGTTCAAAGATCCTCGGCGTTAAGGGTTACTAAAAAAAAAAAAAATTGTGTGATTTCGTGAACGTGGAACGAAGACTCGATTACGAGACGCGTATCTTCTCTAAATGGAGATAGAAGAAAGAGACTGAGACAGAGAGAACAGATAGAAAGGGAACGAGAGAGCGACGTTATATCAGCGAGTGGGGATTCCTGATAAAGACAGGCCGATTGCGAGAAAAGGCAGAGAGACTGAGAAGGAAAAATATAAAAAAAAGAGAGAGAGTGGGAGAAAGAGAGCGCGCGTGTGTGAGAGAGAAAGAGAAAAACACCGATGTTTCGCTAATGTTAGATCTTTTATCTGCCGGACGAGCGGACCCGGGCTGAACACGGGCCCTCTTCCACCGAAAGAGCGACAAGTCGCGGCTCCGTGCCTTCGTTCTTCACACGACGAGTGACGGTTTGCAGTCGATCCGCGTCCCTCTGATCGTCCGGAGGACGACAATCCGCACGACTTCGCTGATTACAGCACGCATCAGTCGCCGCGCCTTCCTCCTCGTCCGCCGCCTCCGCTGCGCGCTTCTCCGGCTCGGACGAGTCCCGATCTCGTCTTCCTCTTATTTTTTTCCTGGCACTCGTCTGCGATTCGAAACGGAGGATCGCCGGGCGGATCCCGTCCAAGGAAGACCGACACGGCGACGTCGCGTGATCGGCGGCCGACCGACCGCGAGCTGGCTGGACCCGCGAACGCTCCACCTCGGGATCGATCATGGATGACGAGAAGATCAAGCTGTGAGTTTCCTTCGCGAATCACAATCGTTGGTCCTCGCCATCAGGCGTGCTGCCGCGAGCGGAAGCAGAGATCGCGCGGGACCAGCGAGCGGAAAATTTTGCAAGATTGCAGAAACTCCGGGGGTGGGGGGGGGGGGGGTAGGGTAGGGAAGGGAAGGGAAGGGAACTATTGTCAATCTCTCGGATTGTGCTCCGTATCCCGGATTTCGGTTTGCTCCACTTTGAGGGATGCATCTGTGACGTTTCGATGCGCGATAATTTGTTCTCCGTAACTTGTGCACGAGTTGATTTCTCTCTGAAGGGAGATGACGGTGTTACGTGACGAAAGTACGACGAGAGTAGTGTCTGGAGGAATCAAAAATTGGAGTGGAAGCTGTTTTCTGAGAGGGTTCTCTTTTGGAAAATCGTTAATCTTCACCGATGATCGCATGCGCATCGAGCGTGTCGAACTTCCTCTCTTTTCGGAATACATTTGCTACTGGTGTTGCAATAACGGTATTATATTCTCATTGTCGAATTATATTGGCAGACGAAAAGTGTGGGATAATCGTTGGCTAGCGGATTGGGGAAAATTAATGCTTTGCGAGGGGAGTACGAGTGATTACATCGCTCGCAAGTAATGTCGTCAATCATTGAAGTCTTTCGATAACACGTTCGGAGTCAATTCACAAGCACCCGATAAAATATTTCAGGCAAGTTTTGCACGTATATTCGCAAGTCCCTGTAGAAAAAATGTCGAGGCCTCGAGAGTTTCCGAATTATTGATATCTCCCATCGCGGAATGTCAAAAGATTCTCACCGTTTATCGAATCGGCTGCCTTTTGACATTCGCACACTCGTCGCGTCGTCGCGGCGAGAAAGCTTCCCTCTTTCGATTTCTCTTTCTTCGGACAATGTCTCCGCGTATTAACGAATCGGTAAGCTGTTTGCCGAAATTACACGGCAATTTTGCGTGTGCGACGTGCATTGTAGCTTTGCAAATAACAAGGTCGCGATTCCCCTTCACTTTACCACAGGATCTGTAATACAATGGTCGCGCGCGAGGACGTGCAGTTTCGCGAGCATTAACAAAAACATCGCACGTATCCTCCGATTGAATCGTCATGCAATAATCGTCTCTCTCGTGTAAAAATGATAAAACAGGTTTTTTCCCCGACGTTGTTTATCGATTTCACAAATCTCGGTACGGGACGTAATGCACGAGTTTCTTCGAATGGAATTTTGTTTTTTCCGACACGCGCGCGCAATTATCTCTGATACATTAATTATAGTCTATACAGCTTGTTTTACAAACGTTTATTCTGTGAAATGGAATTCCAACATTAAAAAAAAAATATGATCATCCTCTTGATATCGTTGCGTTCTGCTGACGATCGACTTTCATTAAATTGTTGTTCTATTTTCTGGTGTTTCCCGCCGGGTATTTACAATGAATATCATTGAACTCGGATGAAATGACGTAAATATTATTTACGTAAACCGTAAACTCCGAGCAGCTACGTAATTACGAGAAACTACTCGTGCAAAGCTGATAAGGGGAGTGCACTCTCGCGTGATTCCCGCTTCGGTTTTGTTCATTACAGTGTATTTTCAGCAAACGCCGGAATATAACGGGACTAGCTTTGAGCGACCTGAAAACATCGCGGCGGTGTCCATGGACCTTCAAAACGTAGCCTTGAAATACTTCGCGTCGCCAACTCTTTTTTTGCCCCATTAGTAATCTACGTAAGACGTGAATGGATTCATTGTTGCACTTCCATTTTAATGGATTTTGTAAATGCATTAAATAATTTAAGATAAATTGAGACAATTGAGGGAAAACGTAGCCTTGAAATATTTTGCGTCGCCAACCCTTTTTCAGCCTATTATAAGTAATCTACATAAAACATGAATGGATTCACTATAGCTGTTATATTTCCATTTTAATAGATTTTGTGAAATCCATTAAATAATTTAAGATAAATTGAGATAGATTAAAGTAGGAGTACACTCTCCAGCAATTGATCAACGACACGTGTGACACATTACGTCATCTGATTCTAATAGTAAAATAATTAATTTTTAATATCTCTTATCTTATTGTTAGATACATTTTTGAAATTATACTGAAGCTGTACTTTCTTCAGGTTCAAAGACGTGTACAGCCTTTTTACACGGAGAGATATTTTTAAATAACTATAACGTTGAAATATGAAAATTATTGGATTAGTCGAATTACATGTGACAGTTGCCAGATGTCAATATGAGACAAATGTATGTGCAGATAATCCTGCTAGACCATCCTCTTTAAAGACCCGCGGCTAAATCAAACGTCATTATAGAAATCATCAATGACCGTTTAAAGCACGATCGTTTGACGAATGTTTGTAGTTGATTTCTTGGGTTTCTCTCTCGTTAGCGCATCGTACCTGCAAAACCGCATGTACCGCAAGTTTTTTTTTTCTCTTCCACTTCTTTTTTTTTATCCGGGTTTATCGGCCCGTCACGCTTTCCAAGGGTTGAGGGGACGAATCGTTAATTCACGATTGTTTAACCGAAACTGTGTTATACGCAATTTTCGCGTTGCATAGGTAAAATGTAGGACTGTGACTTCCTTTTACTCCTGTAAACTCATTCATTTAACTTATTTCTTTTTGTCGTCATCAACGCCGTCAAGCTATGTTCAGCATGCTCGTTATCTTGCGTTAAGTCGCGAGTGCCAAGTAGTGGCATTTGTGAAGTGGATAATTTTACAGCCGGTGTAACGATCATGTTTTATCGCGGGGAGGAAGGGTGCACTCGCGTGTGCGATCGCGATCGTGCGATCCTGAAACGATCATAGGCGCCGCGATGCGCAAGGATTACACTATGAGTTTGAATTTTCTTCCTGATACAATCAATATCGGGATATTTAAAAAATACTCTTTTCCCTCAGACAGAATATTAACAATTAATATTTAATATTACCAATTTTAAAAATTATTTTTCGCATTTATCCATGCATTCAGCTAGCAATCAGATTTTCATCTTATTTGATATTTTTAATTTCTTTAGGTGCTAATAAAGGTGTCAGAACATGATTAGACTATATTTCTATTAGGATATTGATAAAATCCCAAGAATTCTAGTATCAGTGATATACTTTTTCTATGAAACGTCTTGTCGACGCCCATGGAAGCTCTCCCTCTTGACGAGGCGAGCGTGTTGTTCTCGTATTATCACAGTATAATTAATACGAAATACTGACATGGTGTCGGATAGCATGACGACGGAGCGGCGAACCGACCGACGTATAGTTATTAATCCGCCGGTGCACCTGATTATTTAGGAGCACATGCAGATGATAATCCGCAGGCCACTCAACCGATCCGAAATACATGTAATCCTGCAATGCAGATAATTGTCGTGGAGTGATAAGGAGTATTTCGCAAATAAAATAACAACGACTTTCGAAAAGCGAGTAAACTTCGTGTGAAAATGCCTATTCTCCTATATTGGTAGTTTATATGATAGTAGAACGGGGAGTTTCCACACAAAGTTGTGAAGCCATTTGTCATTTCCTCATTGACTGGCCGAGCGTAGGAGAAGAAGAGATAAGCAAGACCGCGCGTGAACGTCGCGAAAGGAAGTATGTCGCTCGCTCGAGATAAGCATCGACGCGAGTCCTCGCGTTGTCCTCGCGTCTCATCCACGGTATCGGCAAAAATCCACACAAGTAGATCACCGGCGAGCACCTTGATTTTAAACAAATGAAGGCCGTCACGAATATCTGGTCACCACGTGCCACGCTCGTTCGTCTAGTTGGAAGGACGAATTCCCGAGGGTCGGCCTTCCCTTTCCGTGCCGAGCGCGGTCCCCGAGAAGGCTACACGATTTAAAAAATTTATATATAGGTGTAACTCGCGACGCGAAATTGGAAATTATGAGCCTGATATAGTTTAACGAACGATCGAAAACTTTATAATTCGCGAATAGAAGTCCGTTATTAAATGATTTATGCAAATATAGATATTATATATTGTTATATATGTGTGTATACATGTTTATACGTATGTTATGTATAGGTATATATGTGTATACACGTGTATATATACACAATGATATGATAAAAAAATGTTCCGAAGAAATCTGTCCTCCAGAAGCCAGCGGCTTCATCCAGTTCTTTTAAATACATTTGAACGCATAATAACACATATCGCTATAGCCTTCATCTTCATCGATATTCATCGATCGTGTGACTTTGCACACGGCATCATTGTCATCGTAACTGAATCACAGCTAGGGACAGGGGGTCACGGAGGCACGCGCGAATGTGACGAATGCGCATTTGCGCACGGCATCATTGATATCTGGCTGATAGATAATAGCAAAGTCGATAAGAACTGGTCACGTATATTCGCTTATAATATATTGCCGACGTTAAAGCGTGTAATGTCAACAATACATATTATGCATACAAATGTTTCCGTCAGGCTCGTAACGGAATTACTTACGTAATTAGAATAGAGTGAAAATACATGTATATTCTTGACACGATAAAAAAAATATATATGGGTGTAAATAGCGATGCGAGGATACCTTTTCATATATTCTACATTCTTTTTTCTTACAAGTTTTTCTTTCTTTTTTCTCGAAGTATAGATTATTCTTAATAATATCAAGAACACAAATGTTTCTTATAATGCGTATAATATATTCTTACAAGTCTAGGAAATACTGATTATTAAAAAATATTTGTATTTAAAAATAAATGCATTTAATTCGAAAAAAAAAGGAAATATTAAGTAAGCCTATCAAATAAACAAAATTAGTCAAAGTTACAGATTTTCGATAAATCCTCATAAAATTCTAGTTAGGAAATAGATCCTGTTAAGAGTTAAAATTTTATTTTTATTATGCAACGTGGACTTTATTCCGAGTTTTTCTCGTTCTATAGATAATTATACCGCTTCCCCTTATCACGTCGCGACTGATCAGGCACGAATATCTCCGTAAATCTTATCTAATAAGAAAGCCAAGAAGCGGGCGAGGTAGCCACGAGATCAACGTAGTTTTCGATATCGTGATTTATTGATTGACAAATAAAAAGCTGTCGAAATTGTTTCGACGTTCTCCCAAAAGTTCAATAAAGACGAGCATGATGAAAGAGACGATTCACGACATTAGATAATAATTTAAAAGGAGTGACTTTACGAAGATGCGCATATTTTTTCCTCGAATCATCGACGGCAAGCCGTGTACGCGATTATTTCACTAATACGTAATCACTTTCTTTCATTGCGCAAGGAAAGAACGAGCGATCGCCGTGCGCTATTTACAACCGCGAAGAATAGAGAAAAGATCTAAAGATATAAATATTTTATATAAACAACTATTATTCATAGTTTGAAAATATAAGTAGTAAATAAGATCTATGGACATAAATACAGTAAATGACAATAAATTATAATAAATAATTATAAATAGTCAGAAGCGTAGCATTTCATTTTGCCTCAAAGTCGGCTGCGTTAAAACAATCTACAGAGAAGTCAAACAGTTCTTCTGTAAAAATGATTCTTTCTACCTTCTTTGATTCTTTGTTATTTCAACGATGTTTAACTGCGTAAAATAGAAATGGATTTTATAATGAATTGTAGGTTCAAAGACAAGGCGATTTATGGCTATGGGACGAGCATTCCCCCGAATAACAACGAGGATGAGGAAAATGAGATGTCACCGCGGAAGGTCATCTTCTGCGTTCATGGAAAACTATCAGGTTGTTGTACGGTGGTGAAAGGCGACGAAAATACAACCGCGGACTATCAACAAAATCTGACAAGTACGTTTTTCTTGAGAAATATGTAATTATATGCTTATTTGAGAAAATTAAAAATTAAAAATTAAATTTATCGAAGGGATTAAGAAAACGCTATTAAATTTTTTTGTACTAGAATATAATTTCTGTATCAATTAAATAGCTCTAACTGATATTTGACGAGCCTCACTTTTCAAACTCACTTTCTTTTAAACAAACACCTGACACTATCCTTTTCTTGCAATTATTTTTAGTATCTCCGGAAGATCATTGTCATAGGGAGAGGAACGAGGAGATCGACAAGAAAGCTCGAAAGAAGCTGCTGATCGCCAGTGTGCTCTGCGTTATTTTCATGATAGCAGAAATCGTCGGTAATATAACAAAATGCGTTATCCGTGTAAATGAAGAATACTTTACTTTCTTTTTTGTACAAGTTATTTACGAAAGAGCAGAGCAGACAGTTATCGTACAAATTCCTTTTTGTTTGTCTTCTCTTTAGGCGGAGTATTATCAAATAGTTTGGCAATAGCGACTGATGCCGCACATTTGTTGACTGACTTCGCGTCTTTTATGATATCGCTCTTTTCTATCTGGGTCGCTAGCAGACCGGCCACTAGAAAAATGCCTTTCGGTTGGTACCGAGCGGAGGTGAGTATTTTTTTCTCTCCCTCTCCGTGGACATTAAGATAAAATGGATCATGTTGGAGCTCTACATCTTATCAAGAAATAAATACAATTTAGATATTTTAGATGTAGAAGTTAGTGATAGCGGCGTATACGTGAAATAAATACTGCGTAAATTTAATTAAAAGCCGTAAATTAATTTCGGATTACTCGTGATGTATGAGTTGTACGATAAAAAAAAATTAATGCATACACGGAAAAATTTACGCATAAATCTTGGAAATTCTTTTGCAGCGCAATATAATTCGTAAAACAATAGAAATATTATAACGTATGGAAAGTGAAGCTATATGGGAAATTTTCTGTATGCTATTTTAGGTCATCGGTGCATTGACTTCGGTTCTGTTAATATGGGTGGTCACCGGCATATTATTCTACCTAGCGATAGAAAGAATCATCCACAAAGACTTCGAGCTGGACGCCACGGTGATGTTGATCACGTCGGCAGTTGGTGTTGCGGTAAATCTAGTGTTAGTGATACCATTAACGACAATATTTATTTAATCCTCTGCGCGACTCAACGGCGATTCATGCATAGCGTAACATGATACCGTGCACGATTGTTCCTATAACAATAGGAATAACAAATGTATATAACGTAACGTTAAACTATATAGCGTTCCCTTGTTGCGCAATGTGATCGCGAGTAACGATATGAATTACGGAAATTTAAATGTGCGAAATGAATGAGAAATCTTTGAGAATTAATCGAGTTACATGAATGGCCTGAGATTTAAATCTTGTTTAAATTTAAATAAAAAAAATGAGCTCAAAATTGTAGATACAAACCAGTTTTCAGTGAAATTTCCGAAATTATAGATTTGCATCTTTAAATGCTTTATGGGAAGATATATGCATTATATATAATTTAACGTTACAGAATGGGCCTGTCGTTGCATCAGCACGGCCACAGTCACGGCGGACACAGTCACGGCGGGCATAGCCACGATAACAGCGATGACATGGAAGACGGACTTGAGAATAATCTCAAGGAGAAAAAGAATATCAACGTACGCGCTGCCTTCATCCACGTTTTGGGTGATTTTATTCAGAGCGTGGGAGTATTCATCGCTGCATTAGTCATTTATTTTAAGGTATACCTTTCAATTTTCGTCGGTAGCTTAATTGATCTTTTATATCAGAGAAGTTTCTTTTGACATTTTTGTGATCAATTGAACAAATAATAGATAGGCTTATCTATCTATCGAAAATTCGATTCCAAAGTACGATTGACCTATATATGTTTCAGCCAAGTTGGAGCATAGTGGATCCAATATGTACATTCCTTTTCTCCGTATTAGTTATCCTCACCACGGTGGCGATTATTAAAGACGTGGTCAACGTCTTGATGGAGGGTATCCCCAAGGGTTTCGAGTACTCGCAAGTGGAGAATACCTTTATGCAAATAGACGGAGTCGTTAAGGTGCACAATCTTAGAATCTGGGCGCTCTCGCTCGACAAGACCGCTTTGTCAGCGCATCTCGCTATAAGTAAGTGCACCCAAAAATACAATTCGACATGTGTACTTTCTTATTTATGCATTCCAGTTGCGCAACCGCTGCTAAAGTCTTAAAATAACCGGACCGTGCTGTACAAACTGTACTCGTATTTTTAGATTCTCAAATCATTACATATTTCTCATATTTGTAACTTATCGCACATTTCACACTCCTATATAATCGTCTATCAAATTTATTATTTTGCGATACAATATTTATTTTATTGAAACAACGCGATGTTTTTATTCGCAGAACCCGGAACGAGCCCCCAGAACATTTTGCGCACTGCCACGCGGAATATCCACGACAAATACAAATTCTTCGAGATGACGTTGCAAATAGAGGAGTTCAACGAGCGAATGGAGAACTGCAAGCAGTGCAAGGCGCTATCGCAATAAGTTACCGCTATTGTACTTATGCGTGTCCTAGTCGCGGATATAAGGGACGCAACGTGCAACGAAGATAATTTTAGAAGTCTCCGTGATCACTCCACCGAATGAAACGAATGAGATTCATTCGCGAAAGCAACATATGCATGCTTCATGCATGCTCACATCGAATTCTTGTTATACCTTTTTCTTTTTTTTCCTTTTTTTTTAGCTTTATATAAAGATACGTACGAGCAATCAAAACGTCACTCGTACAATACGATGTGTTTACAATTGTGAATGTAAGCTTGCATGTGTGTTATTCCATTATAAGGAATAAATTATAATTAATTCCACAAATAATAAGTTATATACCGTTAATTGTTTGCAGTTACGACAAGCATTAGAAGTGTTTTTCAAATTGATTTTCGTGCTAATAGATATATAGTTACAATTAATCAAACTTTCAAGTTAAAGATATTGTAATTAATATTTATTTTTAAGAGCGACCTGTATGTATAAGTGTGTCAGTAAAAGTTACCACTCCACTCAGTTATTACAATTGTAAAGAATATATTGTATATATATGTATAGCGATACACAATATATATGCACAAAGAAGACAGAAAGAAAACAATTATGAATAAAGATTATTTTGAATTTGATGATAAAGACAATTTTCTCTTTGCCAGCCTTTAACCTAAGTTTAACTGGGAAAAAAATAGTTAATTTCAGTTTATTAGCTAAAGAGAATAAGACTTATTGTGGCAGATCGTGCAATTGTCAAATTTTGAAACGTGATTAGTTGAAAGTAATAATTAATAAAAATGTAATCGATATCGCTCATTTCTCGCATAACGCTGGAATGCGAACTAGTGCTATAATATGTCAACATCAGAGGTAAACAATCCTCAATCCTTTAAAAACAAAAATCTATTTATATTTTACATAAAAACACGGACAGCTCTTAAATTGCGTTAAAATATTAAACTGTATACCGTGATCTACAAAGTTATGACACAAACCCAGTTATTTATTAATACGAATTAGAGTAATTATATATAATAACTAACAGTAAATACAAATTCAAAACAAATTTCATCACATACCTACACAGCATGCACATACAAAACACAATATAAACATACGTACCGCACACGCAGCAGAGGTTAATACAGGTTATAGCCGTGATAGGTTAGTAAAAGGAAGATGGCAGCTCCCAAGAACAAGTAAGTAGAAACGCTTGAGCGAGTGGAAACGTTTGTACGACTATAAAAACCGCTAAAATACCTCGCACGACAGTGATTGTCGGACGGCTAATTTAACCCTGGCTTTACTTACAGATTGGAGGATTGCGAGGTATGCGACGCGGCTAAGGCGCGGTACACTTGCCCGAAATGCGAGGTTAGAACGTGCTGCCTCACGTGCGTGAACGTTCACAAGAAGGAGCTGAGCTGCGACGGGATCCGGGATCAGACCAAGTTTATCCCCCTAACCTCGTTCACCGATCTGGATTTATTGAGCGGTAAGAGACAGTCCTTTCTTTCTAATTGTCTAGGACGTTTCGAGAGGCGCTTCGTGTAGCTTTAACGTGCACTTGATACTTTGCAGACTATCGCTTTCTCGAGCAAGTCGGTAGGTCAGTTGAAACAAAGAAGCGAAATCCAGAGATGAAGTACACTCGTCAAGCTAATTTGCCAGTGGTACGATACTCTTCCCTGTTTTTTTTTTCTCCTCTCCCCCATGTGCCATTTAAGAGTGCCGCAAGGTCATCAGATGTCCTCTCTTTCAGCATCTGCATAAATTGAGATGCACCGCGTTCTCTAGAAAAGTATCGCTGTTATTTATGCCGCAAATCTTCGGTCGGCACAAGGAGAACACCACGTACCTCAATTGGAAGACCAGCGAGCTGTTCTGGCGTCTAGAATGGATCTTTCCGCAAGCTGAAAACACAAAGTGCATAATGGAAAGGTACGGACGAATGCGTGTCATCTCTGAAAGTCTAAGCAGCTTTTAAGCAATAATTAATACATTATTACTGTGTCCATTATAGAGCCCTGGACAGCACGAGATTGTCAACATTGGTTGAACAGATTTTAGATCCTGTCTCTTCGGTAGAGGAGTCCGATATCGAAAAGTTGAATGCAACGCTGCTTTTAGCTGAAAAATTACAATTTTATAGAGCGGCTGGGTTGAACGGTATCAAAGTTCTTTTGAAAGCCGAGAAAATAAAGAAGGCAGGGTCTAGGTAAACAAATATTTTCTCTATACTTTCTAATCTTACAGTTAAGGTACTCAGCTAATTGGAATTATGTACAGATTTTATGACTTGGATCTTACGCTTACGTTGAGAGAAAATTTGGAGAATAAAACTATAGTGGAGTTTCCGACACTGCACGTCGTCATGAAGGATCACTCGGATATGTATGAGATTATAGACAGTGGTAACTATTATACGTTTACAACAGCCATTAATAACACCACCAATATATTATTATAGATATATACATTATGTACGTATTATTATCTAGATGAAGAAACGAGTGACGCAGAGTGTACGAGTTACGGAGCAAAGAAAAGACACAGCAACAATAATGGGCCTGATAGTGATAAGAAAAATGAATCAGTAAACTATTTCTTCAACAATTTATCGGATTCCGAAGACGAGAGGACAGACGGTAAAGTAAAAAAGCGGAAACAATCGCTTAATATACCAAATTACGAAGATTTAGTACGAATGTGAAAATTTACGTGCATTATTTATAAACATTTTTCTTTTTACTTATATGTATAGATATTTTTATTGTAAATACATCACCGTTATAGTTTTAATACAGATGAAATACATACAAATGTAGTAACATTAATGACGTGTATGGCCATCTATAATACACTTTTTTTTTCTTAATTGGTTCCTTTCCCACACATATACCTGATAATACATATATCTGCGCACCACCCAAAAATACAATCGCACTTATAATAATAAATATATATTTTTTAATTTATACTAACTCGGGATTTCACAACTCACACAAACTGTATGATTTCAACAAAGATATAAGAATAATAAATACAATATCATCTCTTTTTATCAGTAATAAAAATCCAATCCATTTCTACTCCTCATTTGAAAAATTTCTATTCCAGTCGATAATTTAGAGGCAATTTATTTTTCATCGCAACAAACTATGGAAATAAATAGATCACAAATATCTGCTACAATATATATTAAAAATGATCGCACATTGCATCGTTTTTTTTATGTAAAAGTAAATTAGATTCTTTATGTAAAATTATTAGAAAAATTCAATGGAAATATAATATAATAAAAATTACGATCTATTCATTTTTCTATAACAAAAAGCTTTAGTTTTTATCATTGTAGCACTAAAAAAAATCGCAGAGTCATATCTCGTTAGATAGTTATATGCTATTTTCTTTATAAACATAATTTTTACACAGACCAATTTTAGTATATCAATACATATAATTACAATTACACTTTCGTAACTTTTATCTCGTACATAAAATTTTCCTCTTCTATAAATATAAATGTTGGAATCACAAATAGTCCGTAATTATGAGCGAGACGAACGAAAATATTCTACCCTTGGAAATGGAATACTTTTGACGCGTATTATCGAAATTTTTCTTAATCGTGTTGCTTAACTAGAGAATGAAGAAATATAACAGGAAGACCAAAAATGCAACAAGACCAGCGACAGCCTTCACATACATCGATTTACTGTTTAGATGTTTCGCGTCTTTTTTATATTTCTGCGACAGCATAGATAAGTTTTGCGTTTTCGTATCCAATTCTGCAAAGATACAATCAATATGTTAGATATTACACGCGAATTTTTATATTTACGCGCGCTCTTGACGCGAACAGAACGATTGTGTACATTACCTGAGAGTACGGTACCCCTTTGTAAAACATCATCGATATTTTGTACCATGATTCTTTGCACGTCCTGCAACTGACTGTTAAGCGTGTTCAAGTTCCTGCGAGATCTACTGTCCGTGAGGATCTTCTTAGCTTTCTGAATGTACGTATCTGAGAAGCAATGTAAAAGATGCAATATATATTCAGTGAGACATTAACGTTCACGATCATCTACGGCATACCGAATTCGATAAAGGTATAAGGCCTGGTCACTGTATTTACACGTTTGCCATACTGTGCATGAAACTCTTGCGCTATATCCTCCAGGTAGCTGTACGCTATGCGCGTACTGTAATTCCTTTCGCATAGTACCAGATAACACACCTCATTTTCGATTAAATAACTGCAACAACAAAACAATGTCAGACCGTTTTGGGATATATATAAGATAAAATCTGCTAAATTGATCGAACCTGTACTTACTGGAAAAGGTATGGTGGGGTTTCGATTGTACACCTTGTGGGAGACTGCGGACCTAGCTTTCTAAACAGCATCTTTGCTTGATTCTGATACTCCACGATATTCTTACCATCCTGCGACACAAAAACAGAACGTGTTTCTTCAGCTCGCGTAGGTCTAATGAAACATGAGTAAACAGATTTTCGATTTCGGTCGAAATTTTGATTAGCTTCGAAAATTTGAACCTTTTTTTTTTTTTAATCAAATTTAGCAAATCGTTTCAAGATTCCCTCTCCCGTATCTCCGGCGACAAGACTTCCGCCGACGAAGTTAATTGCAGATGCTCAAAGAACGAGGTGACGTTTCGTCATAGCCCACTTTCTAACCTGTTCGTTGTCCTGCATGGTGGCCGCCAGCGGCAGGCCGTCCGCCACCCTTGCGATTATCGTGAACAGGACCATCCTGTCGAGGCTCCGTTCGCGCCGATCGACCGATCCTGCCTGGATTAGTCCGAAACGACCGGGGGAGAAGACTCGATCACAATCGTCGTCGCACTGATCTGACGTGACATCAACGTCCACGGCGGGCCATTCGCGCGTAACTGGTCGCCGATGTGGCTGCCGCGCGTCCACTCCCGATCCACCACGTCAGTCTCAATCCGGTCGATCTGCGCGCCGATCGCTCGGGCGACGACGACGACGACGACGACGACGACGATCGCTTATCCGCCGAGTGGGCGAACGCGGCCGACAGGGAATACGCACAACGCTCCGCGGCGACCGCGGCCTTACCATCGACAGCCGAGCGTCTCGCGACTGGAGTCGGTGAGCGCATCGCGCGAAAGGATAAAATAGGCGCGCACGGCGCGTGTAAATCCGCGTGCGCGCGACGTTCGCGCATTCGTCCCGCGTCGCTCGTGGGCCAGGAGAAACCCATCGCGAGCCGACACCGCCGACACTGTCGCGAGGAAATTAAATGCGTCCGGGCGGGCATGTTTTCGAGGAACGGACGATCCCCGGCGGCGCAGAGGGACTGTCGTCTTCCTTGTCTCTGAAGAAATAAGGAAATTTTTCTCTCAACAATACCAATCAGGTGCGCGTCCCGCGTTTGAATCGACCGGCGGCCGCCATCGGTGCGGCGCGACGGTGCTCGGCTTCCGGCCTCGGCTTTGACGTTCGTCGCGGAGTCTCGCGGGGTCTCGCTCGCGTGGAAAGTCGCTACAACCGGGGGAGGGAGCGGGGAGAGAAAGGGATCCGTGACGTGCTCCGGCCGGAGTCCGCCGAAGTCGTGTCTGCCTTTCTCTCTCTCGCGTTGTCTCTCTCTCTCTCTCTCTCCCGCTCTCTGTCTCGCTCTCGCGTGCGCCAAAATGTCCGTGTACTCGTAAGATTGTGCCCGCGCGCGCGCGGCCATCGACGTCGACGACGAGGACGAGGACGAGGACGACGACGTTCGCTTCGCCCGTGAAAGGAAACCTACGAAAGTGTCGGGCGACGAGCGAGCGGCCAATAATGCGCATACTGGACGCGCGGAGACGGCAGCGCGAGCGATAGCTTTAGGTGAGCGGAAAAACGCGTACGTCGACTCTCTTTCCCCGCGCCGAGTCGAGTGCAGTCGTCGACTCAGCTCTCACAGCTGGTCGCCCGGACCTCGCGATCCCGCGACGTTTCCCGGACAGCCGCGGCCGAGAGGGCCGCCTTGCCACGTCCGTCGTTACATAATTACGTTAAATCGAGCGGCTCCGCGCCGCGTCCTCGGCTGGCGAGCCTCCTTATCGCGGCTGCCGACGGGGCCCTGCTCAGGCCCGTTCGCCGAGCAGGTTTACGAAACAATCTTATCGCATGTACTTTTGTACCCCCCCCCGCGCTCGTCCTGCCTTTTCTTCCCTCGAGGACGCGTCTCGAGAAACTGCTGGAAACCTTCGGGAATCTCTCACCGCCACGGAAACTCGCGGCTAATGACCCATTTATAATTTATCACATCCGTGTACCGCGAGGCTGTCAAGTGTCGCAATGACAAGCGCTTTCCTCAGATCGCGAATAGGATAATTCGGCCGATTAAACACTAACATTTTGTCGGCAATTTTTTTCCTGGATCCGCGTTGCACGTTCCACGTCAGAGCGAATAATTATTCTTGGTTAATCGCCAGTCGTGTAAAAGAGTAACATATGTACACTGACATGACATATGTATACACATACTGAAAATACGCGCGACAGAATTATAGGAAAACGTTTTGTCATGTTTCTGCACTCGCCACTTCATATATCTTCTACTATCTTCATTGGAAATATGCCACCGCACGTGTATTTAATTTTGCCGTTGATTTACAGATCTCAAAGATTGCTGTGAATTAGGCCAGAGCGTCTTGCAGGCAGCATGAGCGTAAGTGTACACGTCGGATCACTTTACGGAGTCGTGAGTTGTACGGACAATTGATTCGGACGTTGACCGTAATTTCAGAATCCTTATCGAGCCAGACCCACCCACAGATCTCGGGTGGATCATTCGGCTGCGTATGGGATGCACAATCAGAATATGTGGATGCCCGTGTCGAGGCCTCAGTCGGACGTTCCGCCGAACGATACTATCCAGCAGTCTCTCGTAAACCAATCAAAACATGCGAGCGACACGTGGAAGGATCCGTGGGACTGGAATCTGGATAGCCAACAATCGGATAGCCAGCAGCAGCAGCAGCAATCGCCACCGCAGCAACCGTCGCCACAGCAACAGCAGCATTACGTACCCTCGTATCAGAATCAAGGGCAGCTGATATCCGGTTCCGCGCAAAACCATTATTACAAGAATCTCAATGGTAACACATCCGACGTACTTAACCAGAACCCCGTGTCGGGCAGGAACACTCCCAGGGTCCCAGAGCCCGCTCGTCCGACCGGGACGAATTACACGGACTCCTTTCCACCCTACGCGAACTATAATCAAAATCAGCAGTATCCGCTGCCGCCTCGGCCGAACAGCGCGAAATCCGGTTACGAGCACGCTCAATGGCCGAGCGAGCATCCGTCGCAGAATGCATCTTACCCTCAGCAGAGGCTCGTGCCGCAGCAGAGCCAGAAGGATCAGCCACCGATGCCCCCGCCGCCGATGGCGTCGCATAATTATAACTGGAGCAAAGACGACGCGGCGAACTTGCCGTTGCAACGTAATTGGCAGAATCACACCGACACGCTGGGTCAGTGGCAGGATCAAAACACGTCGTCGGAGATGCAACAGCCAACGGTCGACAATATGGGCAATCAGTCACAAGTGTACAGCGCGCCCGTTGAGGGAGTCAACAAGGAACATTCCATGAACTGGCCTACCGGTGGACAGCAAAATAACGAAGCGGGCAACAAGTCTAACGTCGTATCGAATCAGTGGCAAAATCGCGAGTCCCAGCATCAATCCGCGCATTTAGCACAAGCAAATAACGTGGATGACACATTCGCCTCTTGGCCGCAGTCGGGCAACGTCGTCAGTGCCGCGCACGATTGGAGACACTCCAAGCCAAGCGAACCTTTACATTCTACACAATGGTTACAGCCAACGGGTGTGGATAACAGTTCATTCACGGAGAACGTGCCGCAGAATAATAACAGCACGAGATTTGCCGTGAACGAGTGGCAACAGGTGCACATGGCGCCGTTCAGTTACGCCCCAGCGTCCACGACCGTAGAAAATATTGTACATACGCCCAATAACAATGAACAGCAGAAGAACGAGAAGCCGGCGGCGGTAGCGTCGTCTGTCGCGAGCACCGTGTCGCCCCACGATTCGTTCAGCCACGCGAAATCGAGCGAGATCAAGCCACCGATTGGAGACCACCATAATCTAAACGTAACTGATGACACATCACCGACGAGCGATCCTTCTAAGACCGGCGAGAACGATCGTTCTTTCGATTCTATAACGGCAGAGGAATTAACCAGCAGTTTTGGCCAATTTAATCTCGGAAGCAAGTCGGGAAAACACGTGGATCCTTTAGGCGAGGAGGTGCATTCGAGTCCTATTCTCCCCCCGGAAGGGAGAGCTCAACATCCTGCTAATTTTACAAATATTCGAGGTAATCCCATTCCCGACAACATGCCCGTGCTACCACCGGCATCAAGCGGCATAGAGAATTCTCATTCGATCGATAGCCAGCCGCCAATTGTCGGGCAAGATCATCTAATATCGAATACATATCAGAGTGGCGCCGCTAAGGTAACGGACAGTATCTCGCAAAGCGGATATGATCAATGGTACAATCAAAACTCACTGGAGAACGCGTGGTATACGAAGGATCACTCGCGTCCACTGCCCAAGCAGTGGAACGCTCCTGAGCAGAACGTAGAGAACTACGAGAATATCCAGCAAACGTCCGACTTCATAAACGTCGAGGTTGTCGCGCCTGCAACGCTGAAGGAGCGCGATATCTACGGTTCGCGGGATTCCATAAACAAGGAAACGTTGGACAACGATCCTAAGCCGAGCGCGAGTCCCAAAGAAGCGACGAACATTCGGGACTTCAGGGAGGAGGTGAACAACGTCGAGGTGTTGTCGATGCAGCAGCAACAGCAGCAGCAGCAGCAGGCGCGGCCTCCTCATCCACCTCTGGCGGAGCAGATGCCGGACAACTACGAGTTCGCTTCGAACGACAGAAACACGTTTCTCGAGACCGGCGAGTTGACTGACTCGCATCAGGAACACGAGCCGACGCCACCGAGTCAGGATGACGAGAACGATGAAGTGCCTAACGATATTCCCTTTCTGCGCGAAGTGCCAGGGCAATCGAGTACCATAGATCCGCGCAGGAACGATCCTACGGGTCAGGAGCATCACGTGCAGACCGGCCAACGTTTGTCCGATCCCAGGAGGAACGATCCGTCGGGTCAGGAGCAGAGTATGCAAGTTAGGAGTATGCCTGACCGAGTGGAGCGTCGCGACGTTCTTCCGGGGCAAGAGAGGAATGTTCCTCTGTTACTGCGAGGCGACTCGGACACTCTGGAGCGGCGGAACGATCCTTCCGGCAGGGAACGTTCTCTGCCACCGCAACAGTCGCGAAACGATCCGTCGGGCGAGGAGAGACATCAGCTGCAGTCGCAGTTAATGCTGGAGTCGAGCGAGACCCGTGAAGTGCTCGGCCGGGGCAACGAGCCCGACGAGGTTGCGCAGCAAACGGACGCGGAACTCAGGCAGATACCAGGCGGAGCGTCCTCCAACGACGCCACGCAGTTGCCGGACGACAGAACAACAGGTGGTAGAGTCGTCACCGGCTCCCCGCCGGAGGTCCCCCCGACGATGTCCGCGATGCAGGATCAGGCGAGCGAGTCGCGGAGCAAACGCGAGGAGGCGGTGGGCGCCTCTCTGGAGAGCAGCGAGAGCCAGGGTGTCTCCGGCTCCTCGAATCGCCGGGATTCCTACGAGGACGACGACGACGAGGGGTCTCGCAACAGCCGGGACGAGAGCAGGGAGAGACGGCGGGAGACGAGTCCCGATCGCCGACGATACGAATACGAGCGGAAGAGCGCGTACTACGACCGCGATCGTGAATACGAGGATGACTACTATTACGAGCGCGGGCGACGCGTGGGCGACAATGAGCGTCAGTATAATGCCCGCGACGACTTTGAGCGACGTGATGCTTCCTATCGAGACGACGAACGTAAGCATCACAGTCGCGACGACTTGGATCGACACGGTAGAGACGATATGGACAGAAGAGTCAGGGGAAAGGAGGATCTAGATGAAAGAGACGCCAGGAGGAGACCGGATGACCGCAGAAGAGACAGAGGCGAAGATCCACGTCGTCGAGACAGAGATCCGAGAGATTACGATGCACGATATTCTAGAGATCCTAGGGACAGAGAGTATATGGATGGACGCGAAAGGAGGAGGGATGACAGACGGTCTCGAAGATACGACGATTACGATAGAGATCCGTATAGGAGGGATTATTACGACGATCCTTATGGAAGAAGGTATATTATCTAAGCAAAATGTTTCTGAAACAAGCAGATAAAACTTTACCGGCTGTATTTTCTACTAATTATTTTGAGAAAAAGATCTGCCAAATTCAAACTGATATCTATCAATTCTGTCACTCTAATTGGCTCGCGAGCTGAAACGCTATCACCTCTCCGTTGTCTCGAGCGAGCGAGACAGAGAGTAAATAAAGAAAGATAGACGCTAGAGCTTTGCTTGAATTCGTAACTTTAGCGTCTGTCTTTCTTTATTTACTCTCTGTCTTGCTCGCTCGAGACGACGGAGAGGTGGTAACGTTTCAGCTCGCGGGCCGAGATTTGAACATGCCTGCAGTCTAACACTTTGATATATTTGATATATTTGTTTCTAGTATCTGAGCAAATGTAAAATGATATTTAGATGCTTGCCAGTTTAGCTGAATCTTTTTCTTAATGCACAACAATCTGTTTTAATTATTAATTTATTGTAATTCATTAATATTTTATGTTACATTTATATATTCTTTTAGTTCTAGACCTTCAAGTAGATCTTCTTACAACGATAGAGACCGTGAATACTACATGCGTGGAAGGGATTCTTATTATGGATACAATGGTACGTGTTGCGTACATAAAATACGTATACATTAAAAAATGCGAGAAGCCAATATTCTTCGTGAAAGCAGCTATTAAATATATATGTATTTAATTGTGAATGCAGGATACAGTGGATATGATTATAGTGCTCATTACGGTAACAATTATTACGCATATCTTGAAAACCTGCGTCGAACGAATCCTGCCGCCTATTCCGAGTGGTACCACAAATATTATGCCAGCCAACAGCAGCAGCAGCAGCAGCAGCACATCGCCAGAGGTGTCGGCAATTATCCGGAGGACAGAGCCAGCGTTCACTCCGGCCGTAGCTCCTGTGACGACAGGTGTGCTCTGAAATCTTTTCTTTTCAAAAAAATTTAAAAAGAGTTGAGCTTTTGAACACTTGTTTCTTACCTCGGTACCGATTTTATAACGTTCGTTGTATGTCAGATTTTTTCCAATCCCAAGTGCATGTTTCCACACACCCAACAAGACACTCTATGTCCCATATTTCGGATATTCAGGATGGGCCGGAAATCTGCGGGAGCGCAGTACGGCTTGTCGCAATTTAAATAGGTGAGACCGGGAGTCCCCTCTCGGTTCGAAACTTTTAAATTTAAGAAAAAAGTATATTTCCCTCCCAGTATCTTAAAAAAAATTTCAATTATGGCGTATACAGTTGGCTAGATATAGCGTGTGTGAAGTTCACACACGTCTAGATATACATAGAATGCATAGAATTACTCATAAGAGTTTATATATCAAACGTATATTATTACAGCAGTTGTTTAACGTAGTAAAATATTATACACTACGACAGTAATTAAATAAAGTAATAGAAATATGACATAATAAATTGCATGCTTAATTTTGCTTGTATTAAATTTGCTGTAAGATTTAAGTGAAACATGCTTATTTTGTATATATACGTGCCTTTTAATATTTATCGTAATTAACATCAGTTCATATTTTTCGTAATTTAAAGGTCCTCTGTTAAAAGAAAAAAAATCATATTTTTTTCAGGACTGGTGATAAACGAACACTGGGTGATATGTCATTGGAAGATTCGATGATTACATCTGCTCGATTGACACCGACTAAATATTCCACGTCTCATGCATATGGTAATTTACGATCAATTCTGTATATACAGTGTCCCGAATTTAAATGTCAAAACACGCTTTGGGAGCGTGTAGGAGATCGATAAACTAACAAAAAAATCCTTTAGAGATATATATACTCATTTTGGAGAAAATCGCAAAAAAGACGAAACGTAGTTTTCATCTTTGTACTTGTTCATTCACACTTATTTATTCACGTTGTTTTGTATTTTTTTTCATTCTTTTGTTTGAAAATCGGCGCGCATACTCTCGCAGTCTATTAAAAGTCTACGGAATGACTCACACTGCCTCTGTAGTATTATCATAATTGAAATCGTACATGAGAACAATAATATTCCGTTTTCTGATGAAAACTTTTGTTTGTTTACATTTCTGGCTCTCTCGTATAAGTTCGTCAGTTACTCATCAGAAGCCATCGAGTGAATTACTCCTGTCATAATATGCCGCGTATATATTCTAACGTTGAATATGCTGATATGGTTTTCGTGTATGGTTTCTGCGACGGTAATGCTACGGAGGCGGTGCGAGAGTACGCGCGTCGATTTCCAGACATAAAAGTGCCGGACGGACAAGTCATTACGTCGACTTTTAATAGGCTGCGAGAGATCGGTTCATTTTCAATTCATCAAGACCCGTTGAAAGCAAATTTGCAAATAAAAAATCATATCTTGCGTCAATCTAATAACAATCTTGACACCAGCGTCCAGAGAGCATCAGCTAAATTACAAGTGCCGCGGCAAACAAGACAGCGAGGTTTCAAAGGTAAAGGAAATATCACCAGATCGGTTTGGCTGCAACACGAGCTGTTCGTACTAAATGCAATGCTTGCATTGCTGCAAGAGGCTAACATTTTGAACTTAATATTTACATTAAGCAAGTGACAATGTGAATAAATACGTGCGAATGAATAAGTAACAAATAAGTACAAAAATGAAAACTACGTTTTGTCTTTTTGCGATTTTCTCCAAAACGAAGAAAACGAGCATATCTCTAAAGAACTTTTTTGTTAGTTTATTGATCCTCTACACGCTCCCAAAGTTTTGACATTTAAATTCGAGACACTATATATATATATATATATATTTATTTATTTATTTATAAATACTTAATTTTACTAAATCAATTAAAAAATTTACTTATAGGATGCTTTTCCATTGGATCTTTGGTACATGTTCATCCAAGCTATCCAGCTGATGGCGAGAGAGCTAAAGTGGACATTTTCCGCGTAGAAAACTTACTCTTGCACGATCCTATTGCACGTGATTTACGATTATATCCAGGACCTTTAATCAAGTAAGTAGAATCATACTGAGGTAATATACAAGCATAATATACATAACGACGACTTGTTGCAGTGGCGTAACGCACAAGAAGACTATCATAGAATATTGCGAAAATAAAATTAAAAAAGCAGTGGTAAACGAAGAAATGATCGATCGCGCTTCGTACATCTTGCTGTACGAATTGATGATTATGTTAATTCAACAAAATGGGGTAAGTCTCTTTATTCAAAAGTTAAGTTTTAAATGAAAATTATTCAAATAAATTAATATCGTTTAAATTCGCCAGAACGTAGTCGGCGTCGACATTGCCGGGCTCTTGCTGCGTAACAAGGATGCTTATCCTTACGACGCGAATAAATGCAGGTCTCAGGATGTAGGACGCAGAGAATCGCAGATATCGCAACGATCCGGTGCGACGGGCAGCGACGGAAGTACCCAGGATATTTCAGTGTTATCCGAGAAAACTGAAACCAAACAGCGAAAAACTGTAGAGCAAATAACAGACGAATTCAGAGATACGTTACTTTACGGACGGGTTCAAGAAGCATTAGGTATATAAAGGACTTTGTCTCTTTTATGTATTTTATGTCGTTTAACGTGAATGTTACTGATTGATTCTTTTACTTAACTGCAACAGAATACGCGATGAACGAAGGACTTTGGGGCCATGCTCTCTTCCTGGCTAGTAAATTGGATAAACGTACTCACGCTTCTGTGATGACTCGTTTTGCAAACAGTCTACCACCGCACGATCCACTGCAGACCCTGTATCAACTGCATTCTGGTCGCGTACCTGCTATCGTCACGGTAAGAATTATACTTCTGTTTTACTTAATACAATTATTTACGCTTATCTGCTGTAATACTAATTATTCGTTTCTTTTTTTTTTCTGCAGTGCGTTGCGGATCCACGCTGGGACGATTGGCGGCCTCACCTAGCTATGATTATTTCTAATACCTCGGCCAATCCAGAAGTTAATCGTCGATCAATAACGACTCTCGGGGATACATTATTCGCGAGGGGCGATATCCACGCCGCACATTTCTGCTACATACTCGCGCAAATTGATTTCGGCGCTTACGGAACTAATGGAGTTAAGCTCGTGTTGATCGGCGCCAACCACAATAAATCGTATTCCGAATTCTTCACCATGGAAGCTATCATGTTAACGGAGATTTACGAATACGCTCGGAACCTCAGCGATCCGTGTTTCACATTAGTAGATCTTCAAACATTCAAGTTCGATCTAACCGTGAAGATGGTGGACTATGGACTGATAGAAAAGGCTCTATTGTATATCGAACAGATTGCAACGAATATCGCCAACGATCCGTCGAAGTACAAGAAATCCTTCATCAAAGCGGTTTATGTATTGGGCGACCGAATTAAATATCACGATCCAGTCTATAAGGACGCGATCGAAGACGCTGCGAATGTAACGTGGCTTAATAAATTAGCAGAGATAGTTGGAAAATATGAGGTAATTATTTTACGAGATATTTGATATTTAGTTCTGCTATGCGTTAGTGCAGATATTAAATAGAATTTCTGTTGCAGGACGAGCAGAGTGTCGAAGATGAAACGTACGATTCCCGTACTATGATCGAAAATCAGGAAATTCATGAAATGAAACATCAGCAACAGCAGCCATTGCAAATACCGCCACTATCGTCGCAACAACAATGGAACACTCTTCAACCCGATTACAGTGACGGGCCTACATCGATGATGGAAGTTAATACGAGTGAAAACCAATCAGATTGGCAACCATTATCTTTGCCCACGAACATTCAAGATACGTACGATCCGAACGTGCAGTACATGAGAAACGTGGACGAATCCGTTCAGTACCAGCAGCAGCAGCAACAGGATTACTGGAGCCAGCAGCCATATTATCAGAATAATTACGGAAGAAGTGAAACTATGCCTAATTGGCAGCAGCAGTCTGCAGGATTAACCACCGATCAGACTGACGTAACCAACTCGCAACAACAAGACAAATGGAACTATGAGGTATATTAAAAAGTAGCTATAAATGTATTACTGATTCTTTCGTTATGCAACATCATTACATATTTTCCCCGTAATACATCTGCATCTTCATTCATAAAATTCATATAATTCTCACTGCCACTTTCATATTTTCATCTTTTCACGAGTACCGATTCATTAAAAAAATAGCAAAAATGATATATCTCAATTTTGCTCATAATTTTTATATTTACCTCGAAGCATAGCAATTAACATTTTTCACCTGTTTCTTGATGCTTGCTCACTGACAGGCGGAAAGGGAGGACAAAACGCCCACCCCTGAAGTAAGTAATTACGGACTTATCTCGGATAATATTCTCGATCCTGAAGGATCGCCAAATGCTGCCGGTATTAATTTGTTACGCCGTCGCAATGTGTCTGTAAAATCAAATCCGCATATCGCCTCTGCATTCGACGATAATATTCCTGGCCACGTACCTATGTTCTCTAATCTGTCAAGTGGTAATCTCGATGTCAAAGTACCAAATTCTCGTAAGAAATATCCCAAATTGACCATGAGCTATCCGAAAATTTTACCAAACAACAAGGTACACCCGAAAGATATTAAAAAGCCGAAACGTATTGATCCTGTATTTCTGAAACCACCGTGCTTGCAACCACCGGTGTTCCTAAAATGTAACATTAAGAAAAAGAATCCGTCCGAGGTTAGGGAAGAAACGGCGCCGGACCGGCCGGTTAAAGGAAATTTATCCGCGTCGCAAACTACAGATCTAGATATTCAATTTAGCAAATTGAAACTCGAGTCCCTTTTAGTGCCAGACTTATCTTTCGAAGCCAAAGAGAGTCACGTTACTTTCAATAGCGAAGCACAAACTTTGAAACAGTACTGTAACTTCGAGGAGAAGAAAGTTATGAGGGTGGCACCGCATATCCGCAGAAAGGACGTTATTTGCGATACGGTGGACGCGTGGTCATACGATAGTACCGGCCAGAATATTTCCGAATCGTCCAGATATAAGCCACTGGTTTTCGGTGGCACGTATCCGATTGATTTGCCGCTTAGATTTAGGAACAATAATCGTCTAACCGATGACGCTTCAGCTAAGGATAATACGTCTTTGACTTACGACATTGATATGCCCACAAAATGCGACTAAAGAAATAATCTGTAAGCGTATATAATCGTGGCCAAATTTTCTGTTACATGTGTGTTAAATACAGAGATAAGATGTAACTATAATTCTATATTGATAAGTATAACTGGATTTTCTTCAAGTACTAACAGAAAAACTTTTTTTTTTAATCTGGCAATAATAATGGTATAATAATTTTTATAATACATAATAAATTTTTTAAATATCTAATACAATTATTGAAAATAGAGAAAATGATCAGTAGGTTAATAACAAGTATTTGATTGTCCGTTTTATATATTATTCTAAAAGTCAAATTTTTACATGTTATTATATGAAAAATATCCAGATAACGAGAAAAGAATCCATACACTGTGATGAAATAGAGAGATAAAGAATGTTTTGTGTCATTAATTACAATTTTATGTAATTTTACAAAGTTTTAATATTATTTCAAGTGGTGTTTGAATGTATATAAACGTATTGTTACTGTTAGTATCAAACGCATAAATAAAGTTTTGTCATATAATGCATTTCCTTGAACTTCTTAAGATTACAAACACAATTCATTGTTATATAAAAATATTGACTCACATATATAAACTGTCGAAGAAAAAAGATTGCCGACTTAGAGGACCATGTAATATTTATTAAAAATAATGAAAAATTTATGAAAAATGCTTAATCGGTGTAGATTGAAAAACTGAGCTTGTCAAAAATTTTTTCCAGTTTAATCTTTATCATGTGTCCTCCAAGTTTCAAATCCTTTTTCTAATACATGAAATTTATCTGAATTTTTTTTTACATTCTACTTTCTAAGATAATGTGATTCTGATTCTAACGTCTTTCATACACTTTGATCACCCAACATATCATCATAGAACGACGTCATACCTAAAATAAACATGGTAAGCAAAGTTTTTCATTTTTTACTGTAATACATCTGTGAGTATCGCATATTTTATAAGTGTCCCGAACGTAGAGTGCGATCAGAACTTTTGGCATGTGGCATAGGCGAACTCGCATTGTTACAGTAAATAGTGATAAACTTTGCTGGAACAAGCTTGCGATGATCAATCGTATATTTTATTTCAGCCTGCGCAGCCAATCATCTCCATGACACCGTCGACCGGTAAGCAGTACGATCCATTGGAGGAATTGGACGCGCTTGAGACCACACGATCGACCGCTAAGCCCGCGGCGGACACGAAGAAAACGGCGGAGAAAACGGCTGATAAGAAACCCTCCAACGGTGGTGGCTCTTGGTTCGGTGGTTTTTTCAGTAAACTCACGCCCAAGCCGAAAAATCAAATGATATTGCCGGACGATAACAATCCAACGGTAAGAATCTCCCTGCTATTGCGCCGTGCCCTTCCTCCAGCTCATTAAAAAGATTACGACGGACGGTTTTATGTTTTATGTCGTTAAGGGCTTGCGCGGATACTTTTGGTAATAGAACTTGCTACTTATGGTTACAACAATGCTTATAAGACGGACGATAAACAGGCCAGTATAATGCCAGGATTTGTTGAGAAATTGTCAGCTGACTAACGACTAACGCATTGCTACTAATACCCTTCTAATTGAATTAGCTAGATTTTTTTCTCCTAACATACGAACGCAAACGGTGGAGAAAAGTTGCGCGTAGAAATCAATGTAATCAACTCGGTCGTCGTTTGTATTGCAGATTGTATGGGACTCGGTCGCTAAGAAGTGGATAAACAAGGATGAGGACGGCGACAGCGGTGGCGGGACGTTGGTCCCACCGCCGAAAACGGCCGACATGAGTTTCCGTGCGCCGGCGATGGAGCGCGGTTCGCAGCCGCCTCTACCGAGTGCGCACAACGAGGATATCGCACCAGCGACAGATATTTCAAAATTGCCTACCGGTAGCAATATGTTCAAACTGCCAAAGGGTAGGAATATGCGTGCCAACTACGTAGACATAATGAATCCCGGCGGAAAGCCCAAAGGTAGCGCGGCATCGTCTAACGTGACCACCCCGATAACGTCTCCGCTGGCTACCTCGTCCCCGCAGATGTTTGTCCCTGCGCCAAGTAAGTTCATTTCGAATTTTTCTAAACTTCGACTCCTCTCAATTTTTCTTTTATTCGCGCGAATTTGGTCCTCGGAAAGTAATGTTACCTTTATCGTGACAGTCAATGATCCAACCGCTCCCGTGGATTTCCTGACTCCGGCAGCAACACCGCCGTCTGGAAACGCCGTCGCGGAGAACAACACCCCAGTAAGTGCCACGCAATGCACACTTGTGCGGTTTTGACGGATGAAACTATATATACGTATTACCGACGCTAAACTATACATTTACAATACAATACCGCGCGTACGTGTGTCTCCTTAAACTTTACATTACACAACACATTTGTTACCCCCGTGCGTTGTGGCTGCAGTTTTCTGGTATGCAGCTTAGTTTTTGTTTCAGCGTGTTTCTGAAACAATTACATTAACGGATTTTTTCTGTATGTTCCCTCCATCCAATTATTATGACGAACAGTCTGTACACTTTACATTCACTCCCCCTAGTTTTGCATATCTTTTCTCAAAGGTATTGCGATATCTTTGAATTGATCGTATTTATTTGTAATCTATGTGTACAGCAATTACGTGTTTATTAGAGATCAATCATTTAGAGTTTTTTTCACGAAATGTTTACCTTTATGGATTAGACTGCTCCAGCACTGTGCCAGTCCTTCATTCCCCTCCCTCTTATTTAAACGAATGAGACAATCGCTAAACGATCAGTGTTATTAATAGCTATTAATAGTTATTAATTGAAATACACTCTTCTATTGCTTCCTACATTACATTTTAGTAACACAGTGATACTTAATTAGACCTCTCCACTTTGCTACAGATTCTTTCTTTCGTGTACCTGTGTTTAATCTTACCTTTCTTTTTATGTTTCTTTATGCAAGCAGTCGGGGAAGCAGAATGATGTAGCCAAATAATAATTATTGCTCATAGTAAGGACATTCATTTTATTAATTTTACATATCATTATTTGATGTTTTACGCACACGCTTTCTCCTTACCCACCGCTTCGCGGAAATGTATGTGCGGCTTTCTTGCATAAGAAAAGGAACGCTGTATTGCATTTCGTAATTAAAGCTGATTGTGTTAATCTTATATGGCAATCGATGAGTTTAATATATCGCTCTGCATGTTTTCATTTTATTATTAATAACAATTTGGTGTCATAAAGTAGAACGGCATACCTTCTTTGTGATTGCGAATGATTTTTTGTGTAATGTAAACGTCCTCTGTAAAATGTTCCATTAATCATTTGTGTTGCTCACATTGTGACCGAGGCATGAAAAAGTGTTCTTTTTTTTTATCTTGCTGAAACGTTACTCTATAGTACACGAGAACATGAATACCGTAATACCGATTTTCACGTTTTATGACATGGGAGGGAGAGCCTTTTCGCTTTGTTAAACAAATTCGTTATTTAACACTTTTTAACGTTATTGAACGTTTTTTTTAAGCTGTAGTTTGCGAGCATAAATGCAACGTGTAATCGTGCATAAATTGGTATTACACTCTCTTAAATATACATGTATATATAAGATAAGACTAGAGCTAATCACATGCGACGTGGCGAATATCTGTTAGTGAGACAACATTGTTGTGTTGTGTGTGGCATATAGCTCTCTCGCTGGAGCTCGACCAGCTCGTTATCACGAGAGGTGCAGAGCTACACAATGAGGGATCCGCGACTCCTTCAACGGAACAAGGTAATCCAAGGGCATTAACCTCTTCCGCATTTTCAAGGTGATCACTTTCCAAATTATTACTGCGAAGCACACTGTGTATGGGGATACGGGATATTCCGCTAGTACGATCTTTATTGTCTTCTAATCAGTTTGTTCATGTGCCAAGCGAGACTCTTATCATGACTTAACGCTACTTCTATTACTAAAATTAGCTTACGCTTATCAGTCATTATCAGTCGCTACTTTCATGAGGTCATTAATCATAAAATCGTGGGAAAGCTTGGTGGAAAGGATGTTGGATTCAGGTTTTGTAAAATAAGTTTAAACAATCACTTACTTTTGTTATTTCTTGATATATATGCATATAACTGTTCCAGTTTGTGGTCATATCTTCTTACGCACTGTAAATTACAAACACGCGATCGCATACTTTTAACGAGGGATAAGGAATTAAAAAAAAAAATAGATGTTCCCTTACTGCTTACATGGAAATTATAGTTAATACGAATAATTCCAAGATAAAAAATTTTGCAAGCTCGAAAATAGGAGGATTTGCTTTCATCTATATAATTTCTAGGGACCAATGATGTTCAACCCGAGTGAAATGAAGGATCGTTCGGTGAAGAACATGCCACCTAGCAGATATCATCCACGATAATTTTTTGCGACCGCTTACGAGAGTATAGTTTGTTATTTAAATTAGGAATTTTTCTTATAGTTGTATTATAATTATAGTTGTATTTAATGTGAATATCTGTTCTTGTATAGAAAACGTGACAATAGTACATTTTTTTTGTAGTGCGCACAGTGCACACAGTTTCTTTCGAAAAGGTGTGCATACCTAAGCGACGCAAAAGTTCAGAAGATATGGCATCTTTTTAGATGCCTCCTCCGTTCTTCACAGATTCGAGTTGTCTAGATAAATTTTTACATTTGGAATTCTGTTCAAGTTTGTTTCTTTGTTATATTTATCGTGTCGAATTAAATTATATATTACGTTTAAATGTATTCAGAATGAGATTTTCACGCGAATCACGCGATACAGGAGACAATTTTAGCGAATGCAATGGTGGCGCAAATAAATTAAATCCGAGTATACGTTTAATGATTTTTAAATTAAAAGCTTCCATTATACACCAAGGATTCAGAAAATATGCTCCTTTCTGACCAATTCTCGCGGAATGTTCTTTTGTATGCAATGTAATGAATTTATTTGGATGTTACGCACCGATTTCCATTTTTATTAAACGCATATTTCCATCAAATGATTACCTATACATTTGCTGATCGTCGTTCATTGTTAATCATTATGGAAATATGCGAGTGCATTCCCGTTACTACGTTCGTCTAGCTTGTAAGTAAAATCGTCATCGGTACCGGATTCGATGTCACGCGAACTGCGAGCGAGTTTGAATTACGTGAGTGAGATGTAAAGTTGATATTTTTACGTGCAACCTGTAATCAGAGATCTATCTAAGTTACAATTAAATAATCCCTCGCTTCGAAGAGTATCTTAAAAATGTGTGACGATAGAGAGAGGAGTGTTAGCGTTAATTATAGCTTAGCTATATCGCAGAATTTGTTACAACACGGCCTCGGTATGTGCTGTAATTCTAAGTCTGATTTTATATGTACGGAGAAAAGAAGGGAGTGTCGCGCAGTGCCGATAAATACGAGATGTTAGGGATATGAAAATTTTATCGAGGGTAAGAGGGGAGGGAGGGTGAAATAGCGCGTTAAGTATATGATAGGGGTACTATTGTCAGACGTCGGGCTTATATATTACGAAATAATATTGATACACCAATAAATACGCAACTGCCATCAACGTGCGGATAGTGCGGAATGCATAACGAGTTTGTAACGCGTTAGATTTGTAAGATAATGTCCATTGGTGTCTATCGTCGCGAGGAAGTCTGATAGTCCTAGTGTGCTGATAAGGGAGAGCGAAGGATCCTAGCAAAGAAAATAGGGAAGATGATTTTAGTGGCTTTTCCGTGTACATTGGGATGTCTCTATCGAAAAATAAATGTCCTGGCAGATATATATTTTTCGGTGAAGTGTGAGTACCTTCGCAAGTAAAGGCTCTTTACTTGGCTCAATCTATCGTCGCCCTACGCTTCATCCTACGTGGATACTGTTGATTATACAATTTTAGATTCTTTTGTTGAAGATATTATCGATTTCTCTCGCTGATAAACGTCCCGTAATATTGTCAAGTAAGATTGAGAAACTCGACAAGAGTCTTTTGGAACGGTAGCAAATTTCCATTTGCCATTGACCACAATTAGAAGTGACTGGTTCTAGGAATAGATTTTTGTAAATTGTGACACTCGTAATACATTTTATATCTGTGACATATGAATTAGGTATATCTTAGGTGCATATATTATAATGTATTATGATATTATAATGTTATCGTATTATAATATATAATATAATTATAATATCATAATATGTACATGTTACAACACACATGTTGATACTGTTGCAGAAACGTCGTGTGTAAGTTTTATATATATATATATGTATGTATATGTGAACTCTAAGATTTGTACATACTTTAAATGTAGCTTTCGTATAAACTTGTCCTATCGCAATTGTTTATATAGAGAATTCGCGTTTGTTTTTTAAATACCGAGACAAAGAAACGAATCCCGCGTTATGCCGCCGTCGCCGAAATGTAAGAATAAACCATCTCTATTTGTGGTGAATGGCAACTTATTGCGACCAACATCGCCGTTAACTAGCTGATCTATGATGAACTTTCGAAAAGTTGAAATATGTTGTATACGGCACGTCTGTAATCCTTACACGCGATCGAGCTTAAGTTAAGAATTCGGGTGGCGATGCAGAATGTGCAATCTACCGTTTTTTTTTCGCTTTTCCTTTTCTTTATTATTTGCCATTGTTTGCTCGTCGCGCGAAAACGCGAGATATTAATGTAAAATGCGATCGGCTTTCTTGCCTGTGAAAGCGCTCGGAATGGTATTATACATCGCGTCGGGACGGCGAGCGAGAAGAAAAAAGATTTTAAGATTAACGTTAAAGTTGAACAGAAGTATTATAATTAAATTGTAATTGTAATGTATGTATAGGTCGGTTTATGGAACGATGCGGTATCGTCTTTGATGTAACATATTGCTATATTATATACGTTCACGCACCTTCGAATTCCGAATTGATGTACGTATATGGGGGAATAAAATTGCGGATTACAATGATAATAACAATAGCGATAATCTATACTGTATATTATTAATATTAGGATTCACTGTCATAATTATTATTGACATTATAATAAAGAATATTAAGAATTGAGAGAAATCTCGCAGCGATTGTACTTAGCAACTATGGGATGGGCCGGGGAGGATGAACAATCGCAGACGCATTATATTTTTCGATCCTTTTATTAAGTTTATCATAATGCTTCGAATCGATACAATAATTTCTGTGGTATACTGTCGTCTTTCGGGCCACAACGTCGACGATCGTCTCTCCCGCGCACGGACGTTTGTGCTCTGAGATCATCATACACGAAAAATGCGTATACGAAATCGGCGGCCGGAGAACGCCGCGCGGTGTATTTCCGGTGTTTGTAATATGCGAAGAGTGAGTAGGCGCGCTCTCGCGTTTCTCGAAACACGAAGAAATCAATCCAAAAATATCGTCGTCTCTGTGGGCGCGACACCGGGATCATCGGGCAAATTGGTCGAGTCGGGCAAACGGCAGGAACGGGGGGGGAGGGAAGGAAGGAGCGAGTTACAGAGAGGGATGATAGGTACGGCTGCTCTTTAAGCGACGACAGTTAACGCCGTGACACCGATGACACTTCGAGAAGTGAAAAAAAAAAAAAAAGAAAAAAAAGAGGAAAAAGAGGACAGTCAAATGCAGTTTTAACAATCAGCGTTCTTATCAGCGTGCACGTTGAGCGTGTACGACCGGTCGTCTCTCGTTATTTCTACATCTTTTCTGACTCCTTTTTTTCCTCTCTCTCTCCCTTTCTTTCTCTCTCTTCACGCTATCGCGTGTAGACGGAAGTCGGAGAGGACGATGGGGTTGGCGGGCGAAGGAGAAACGGAGAGACCGGGGCGCCGGGGGGGAGGGGGGTGGAGGAGCAGAAGGGGGTGAGGAGGATGAGGGGAGAGGAAGAGAAGAGCGCACGAAGGATATAAATATATAATAATATCTTATACCGCGCGTATTTTTCGTAAAGTACGCTAAACGTTATTCCTTTCTCGTCCAATCTCTCTCGCGCGCACGCACACACTCTCTCTTTCTCTCTATCTCTCTCGCACGCCGCGTCGGTATTATCGATCTGTATTTCTTTTTTTTTCCTTTTCTTCGTTTTGTTATCGTTTCATTTATTAAATGTTAGAGTAGAGCCTATAAAGGGACGCCCGGAGGCGCGCTCACAGCGAACCCCGGGCGCGCTTTTTTTTTCTCGTATACTAGCTGTGCCGGAACGCACTTGTACTGGTCGCACGATCGGCGAAGGATTCGGCTAAAGATACCGTGGCCGATCAGGCCGGGAGGATGTCGTAGTCGCGATCTAACGATCGTGAAATCGAAATCGATTTCGTCATGTTTTGAACTTTTTTCACATGTAAAAAAAAAATAAGCAGCGAATCCAGATGTGTCTCGAAAACCAGCGAGTCAAGATCGTTACGCGGATCGTGAAGTTGGATCCAGACTAAGCAAACGAGCACGAATGAGGGCGAATGAACACGCGTGAATCCTAGATTTAAATCGACAAATCGACGCTTCGTCTTTCATAGACAGAAATTCATTGAAGAAAAAAAGATTATTATACGCTCGTTTGTGTTCGTTGCAAAGTTCGTCGCTCGCAAATCATCCGCTCTTGCTAGCCTGGATCATCTGGATCCACACGACGATCATACGCGAGTCATCGAAAGTCTAACGTTCAGCCGGGCAAGGTTCGATTGAAATAGAGAAGGTGAGTCAATAAAAGAACAAGATCTTAAAAGCAAAAAGAGAATTGCATTCGGCAGCCGATCTTTAGCCGAGCGATTCGCTCGCGACATATTATTTAACAACAGAGTTTAACCACCTAATCGTTCGGAGGAATACTCCCCATCCTCGGCTTTGTTTATACAATGAATAGGATATAAAGATCCTTTTTTCTCTTCGTTTACCTACGTGCTAGGTAATAAATGATCCAACTGCAATTCATTCACGATAACCAAATCGATGTGAACGGTAAGCGGAAAAGAAAGAAGACCGAAAAAAAAGAAATCGTGACTCCGATCAAGGTGTGAATTGTTTGAAAAAAAAAAGAAAAGAAACGTACATCTTTTTCTCTTTCTCTCTTTCTCGAGTCGACGATAAACTTTAATAACCCATAGATACTTATTATCATCATAATGTTACAATTACAGTTTGCGATTATCACAATGCGAGAACCGCCAATAATAATAATAGTAATAATAATAATAATAATATCAATGATAATAATAATGGCAATAATATAATATAATTAAAAATAAACTAGTTAATAATAATAATAATAATCTTCGCCGTATTAATTACCATTCGTCATTACAATGATTCATTTAGCCGTTATGGTTGCCTATATACTATCCTCTTTTATATATACTTCTATATATATAGCTACAATATATAATATTTTCGTGTTGAAAAATCGTATACATTAGTGTTGTGTCGCAGGACCATTGCTTCTGTCTCTCTTTCTTTCTCTCTTTCTCGTTCATTCTCGCACCTTTATTTCTCTCAACGCGTCTGCTATATATCATTCCGCGTTCCGCTATATATCTTTTTTTGCTCTTGATGGATCGCAGATGAGAAGGGGTAAGAGGGGAGAAAAACACTGTCGTCGATGGCTGGAAGCATTCGTGTCGATGTTAGAGTCTCGGAAGTCCGAGAGAATCTCAAATCGCGGAATATATCGCTTCGGAGCAGACTCCTCTTTTTTTCTCTCTCTTTCGCGCAGGACCGTTTTACAGGGCATTTCACGCGCGCATTAACTCCGGAATGCGGCTTTTCGCTTCATAAAAAGCTTAGAAATATTCCGTGCGACACATTCTGGCAAGATCGCGTGGTGCGCAACGTTTCTCGACGTCCGCCGAGAGGGAGATCCCGATTCCGGAGGCGACGGGTCTTCTCGCAAGTCTCGGTCGACATTAACGTAACGTGGAAAATTTAAAGGAACGAAGGAAAGAAGAAAAAAAAATACGCGCACGAGTATGGAATCTCGAATTACTGATATATCTCTCGGCTCTCTTCTTTCCGTCGAGGGCCTCCGGTATCCACGAGACAGATATTCACAGACGAGAAACGGCGATCATCAGGGAGGAGGCGCGGCGAATTGGATAAAAATCTTAGCCGATTTTTAGGCGAGAACACGAGTGCCTCCAGACACGAGCGCGTTACGTAATCTTAATAGCTTAATATCGATTTTTAGTTCGTATTACTCGCCGTTCAAAGGCGAGCCTCGGATCACAGATAGTGAGGTGATCGGATTGCGCGAGCGTTATTCGCGATAACAACGCGGTCTCGTATTCGTATTCTTTTCTGCTTTTTTACTCTCCTTTTTTTCCGCTCATTCTCGCACTCACGCATACACACACACGCACATTCTCTCTTTCGCTTTTTCTTTTTTTTTTTTTTAAGTTTGTCAGTATGCGTTCTTCCTGCGTTTCTCCTAAGGATTTCAAGGCGACAGCTCCTGAAAGCAAACAGCATCGGGCATCGTGTACGCGCGCGAATTCACAGTGGCGTGAAAAAAGATCGTCCGAGAAGATTCGCAAGAGGGACCTATCTCCTCGTCGTCGTCGCCGTCGTCGTCGGAAACGTTCTCGCAAACGATTCCGAGCTGATGCAGACGTATACGCGGCACAAACGAACTGTTTCGTTTATCCGGGAAAACACCGGGGTGTCCCCGACTTGTCCTCAGGCACACTGTGCACACGCGCGCGCTCACGTCCCGGTCGAGGGGCTTTCTTTTTTTTTTCTTTTTTTTCCCGTTCGAAACGCAATCCTCGTGTGTCCTCTGCTCGGTTCGTTACAACAAGAGATCTCTTTTCCCGCCGCACGCGGAGTGGCGTGCGTGTTATATAGATACGAAAGTATAGAATGTATATATATATAATATATATTTTTTTTTATACATGTATATATATACGTATACACAATACATATGTACCTACGTACGTACGGCCAACTAAGGGTAGACAGGCGCAATCACGTGTCAAGTTGAATCCGATCGATCGGCCGCGCTTTAGGATTTTTACCTGTCGACGTCACGAAAATCGGACGATCGACTTCCCTTTTTAGAACGCTGCCGATTTCGGATTCAACATTTGTGTGTGAGTGTTTATGTGTGTTGTGTCGCGGGCGGATAAAATCGATAAAGATAACTGAAGAGAAACAAATTTTAAAATCTCGTTAATGAGACTTTCGTGCTCGGTAGGGCAATTACAAAAAAAAAAAAACAAGGGAACGAAAAGCGGAAATGTGTTTCTCGCTCGCGGAAATATACAGTCATGCACATCAATTTTCTAACGCAATCGCGATCCCTGGCCAATGCATTCGAGACGCGAGCGATTAGAAATGGGCCAATAGTTTCAGAACTCCAAGCGACGTCGAAGTTTTCTATAGACGTCACATGCGTATTCCAGAAACTTCGATTCAGAGAGCGTATCTCGAGAGCGAATTCTAGAAATCTTAGAACTTCTTTATATTAAGGTCGCTCGACTGTTATCTATATAAATATAAAGTTAACATACATTTAAAAGTGGCTTCTACTTTCTCAGCGGGATTCGAATCTCTCGGCGTACGCAATGGTGCCAGGATCGTGATTGCATTTTTAAAGCTGAACTTAGAAAATAAAGGATACGGGGCTCAGATCGTGAATGAACGTAGGGGACATTCGCCAGCATTACATAAGAATAAGATGAACATGTCGGGAACGAGTAACAAGACATTAACATAAAGAATCGTACGGAGAGAAGAGTCGTGTTCATGTGTGTGTGGGTGTGTGTGTGTGTGTGTGTGTGTGGGTGTACGTGCTGCGAAAGACGATGCCTTCGCATAACGTTTCCAAAACTACGGTCTTCAAAGAGATTTTCACAAGCTTATTAAAAATTAATTTGGCCAAATTAAAAAAAAAATAAAATTACGGAAAATCGAAGGCGCTCTCGGTTTCATGATCGCTCAACGTCGTACAATAAAATCATGACGAACACTATTTTTGGTCTCGACAATTCTTGTCTTGCAGGGCCTTGGAAACGCCGTAGAGTTCGTGTTAATGTTGTAGCGGTTGTACGTGTGACTGGTCTGTGTACGCTCTCTCCCTAGCTAGGCGCGTGTACGTCGACCTATTGTCTTCAGAGAAACGAACTTCCGCCGTAAAGGAGAGCACACTGACCTACGCCTTCGTCGCTCGCGTATCTTTTCTTTCCGTTCGCTTCGCTCGTCCGCTCTGCGCCTGCGAAAGCGCAGAACCTCCTCGCGAAAAAATTGCTCTATAAGGCCCAAGACCGGATAAAAAGGATACGTGAATGGAAACGCGTTTAATCGTCTCGCGACCGATGATTCTCTTCGATTCCGAGCATATACTCGAGGTACCCTCGCGTATACGTTTGTTGATAACAGACAACAGCCAGACGACTTAATCGCTCCGTCATCTTCCGAGTTCCGAGCTTGTCACCTGCCTTTTGCAACGGCCTCGAATGGTCCACGCGTACCTCCGCACGTATCCTTCTTCCTTCTGATACAGAATCAAAACGAGAAGAGAGTTGCTCGAAGATTGAAAACGAACGCTACTTATTACGAACACCAGCGGAACGACCGTGTGTCATATGTTCCGTGTACGTGTTTCGTTCATCGTGTCGTGTCGTGTTGTGTGTCGTGTCGACAGAATTGCGATGCTGTGTGTGATCCCGATGATGTGTTTCTCGTTTTTCGCTTGCTCGCTCGCTCGCTCGCTCGCTCCTCTTTGCACGCATTGTTCGCACAATCTCTCTCTCGTCTAACACGTCGCGCTTGTGTCCACCTCGGAAGAATGAGGGGAAGAAAAAAAAAACAAAACGAATTGTGAGTCTTTAGACGCGCGGTCGCTTTTCGTTTTCCCGGTCGGAATCAGAGTCCGCTGAATCGTGGAGAGGCGGAAATTCGGGCACCGCCTCGCGCTGTTGCATCCATCCCACCGCGCCTGGCCCCCCAGCCAATGCCTTGCCCTGCGTCATGTTTTTCGATTGTTTGTTTTTTGTTTTGCAATTGATTTTTAGCCCTCTGTCTTAATCCCCTGCAGGATGGCGACAAAATAGCGTGTCATTGGTCACTAAGCCTCGCCTCGATACCCGATAAAAGAAGATTTGCTTCGCGTCGCGTTTCGCTCTCAAAGGAGAACGTTCGGTCTACCGGCTCGTCGGCGGGTATGCCGAATTTTCTCCAAGCTCGGCCACATTGCATCGGCGCGGTACGGGAATGAGAAACAAATATTTACCTTCATGTTACAATCAGCAAAAATTCCAAATACTTTCTAGATCTGATACTTGGAAACTCGATATTTTGAAACTGTTTCGCGTTATTACTTGCGATCACTTGTCCCTCGTTATCCGTGTCTCGAAAGGATTCGAGCGCTTGTCTCAATTTTCACAAAACTTGTCACTCAGGTGTCATGTCACCATCGAAGTAATCGCGAAGGCGAACATCAAATCGGGAAATACTTCCGAACTCGCCGATGCAACGGGTCGGCGTCTATTCTACTGTCTACGCGAAATTTCTGAACTCTGCAAAACGAGCTACAATGAAATTTTTGATTCCATTCACTCCCTCTCTATCACGCTCTCTGTCTTCATCCTTTCGATCCTTCCTATTCCATTCAGATATTCCCAACTAATCGTCTTTCTTGCTTTCTCTCTCTCTCTCACTTTCACTCATTCACTTTCTCAGATCAAGGCAAAGACGCGCACACACGTATATAATCTTGTAAAACCAATACACACGTGGGCCTCAGAAAATAGCATTATCGTAATCCGGACGTCTTTTATATCCATTAAATTAACGTCGCGTGTGACAAACCATGGACAGTTTTCTAATCTTCCGTGACTTGCGAAAACGTATTCCAAGATCGCGTCCAAAGATCGACAGTGACTTTTCGCTTCGGAGGCTCTCGTGTCTTGAAATTCTACATGCAGTCATGCATGTCACGAAAACTATCTGCCCTAGTATCTCTCTCAACTATAAAGATACACTCCAACGTTGCCTTGTTTTCCTTCTCTATCAGCCTATATATATATATATATATATATATATATATATATCATACATGTGAAAATTGTGAAATGTGTGTACGTGTATGTGTTAAGAGCTGCCTTTTTTTAAGTAAGTCTCTAAGGATTAAGTATCGAAGGCCGTGAGAAGAGCGACATATGAAACCGCGCGCAATGCGTAGGGTGCGTGTATGCTGTCATATATTGGAAAGTTAATATAACGGAAAATTCGTCCCGTTTTTTTTTGCTAAGAAATGGCATTAGTATTAAGTAGAAAAAAAAACCGAACGAACTTTCCGTTCAATCCAATATTTATGTACAAACGGATGTACAGACTCGTGTGATTCACTGGTGTGTCTTCCGATGTTGGTCTCTCAGACGCCGAAACTGTAAAGGGGGAGGGGGGAGAAAACGACAGAAACGTCCCCGGTCCCTCTCACGCGATAATAATTTCACAAGGCCCCGTTTTCCAAATTCCCGCGACTGGAAGAATCAACGTTGAAAGAAACGGTTCGCGCTCCTTAGCACCCGTCCGAGACACTCGCCGCGATCGACTAACAATCGAATCTAAAACTTATCGCTTGCTGCCACCAAAACATTTTACTATCTATAACAAACGGCCTATCTAACGTATCTCTAAAACCTAAAAAAAAAAGAAAAAAAAAAGAAGAGTTCCAATATCAAAATCTTATTGCACACTTAACGAGATCTAATCCTAAGGGAAGAGCTCGAAGGCGAGGACGTCTTTCTGGAGGGTATAATAAACGCACGGGCGAAAAGCCCTCCGCTTTCCCCGGTGCGTGTCGTCTCGATGTGTACGGAATTCGATACGGAACACCCGGAAAGATCCAAGTCCGAAAGCTCGACTGCCGTTGCGTTTTCCAATTCTTCCAATGTCGACATATTCTTCAGGCTGACAGACGATACGAGAGAAGTTAATAAGAGAGATTATCATTCTCGGACGCGCGCATCGAATGAGACCTTTATCGATACTCGGGATCGGGATACCCCAAGATCGCCAAGTTTCATTCTTCCCCTCCGTAACGCCGAAAGTTCACGAAATTTCTATCTCTATTCTTCGCAACATCGTCACCGACAAATTTCGCCGAGTAATCCAAAGATTGCCGCTGACCGCTCTCTGGCGCTTGCTTGGACTTTGCACGAGTCTCGACTTTATCGCGTTCACATCTTTAACGTGCGTCGCGATGCACGCGGTCCTTCCCTCCCCCCCCCTCCGTGCGCAGCTTAGTTCGAAAATAAATTCTATTTTTACGGGGGCGTGGAGATCTTCCTCTGCAGTAAACGCGCGACAATCTCTTTGTCGCCGGAACGCCTCCGCGAAGCGCAGGTTCGAGGTAGAAATTTCGAAACATCTCCGGGAGCACGTAGACACGCGGATCTGTCTGCGGATACATATTGCACTATCGATGAGTTAGATCAGAATGGAACT